GAAATTTAATATTCAGTACAAACAATGAAAAAAATCCTACATCATGTACCCAAGCACATTTGTTTGGTATGTAGATGTCATATATCTGTTCACATAACTTATAGAAGATAAACTGAATTTTGTTGTAGGGTGCCCTCATTATGATTCACCTAGGACTAATATATTATAGTGTAATAGTGCCAGAGTTCACCAAGATAGGAATTCTAAGCAAATATATTTCAAAAGCTTCTGAACCCAATTAATTATAATTTCGAAAATATTTTTATCTGGATCATGAGAAATTAGGATTTAGATTTTGATATAGAATTTGCTCTATATCTAAACAGCAAAAATTCTAGATGAGACAGAAACAAATGTTAATGTGAACAAATGGAGTTCCCTCCTTGTACTGGTTCCCTCCTCCTTTCTGTAGTTCTTCTTAATCACGTTTCTATATTTGTAAGTCACTTTTGATTATTAAATAATCAGCATGTATGTTAGATTGCATGTGATAGATGTTTATATATTGTATGAACTTTGTGGTTTGTATTGATTAATATGCCCTTAATTGGACCTTCAATTAGGAATAAAGAATCTTGATTTTATTTGATTGATATCTTTGAATTTGTGCATGCAAATATCTGTCACATCTCTAACTTGGCATAGGCAAATAAATGTCATATCTCTGACTTGGAGCAGGCAAATAACTATTAGATCTCCGACTTGGTACAGGCAAATAATTTATATATCTCTGACTTGCTACAAGAAATATCTTTGGCTGGGTACAGGCAAATAGATGTTATACTTCTGACTGGATACAAACAAATTGATTTCATATTTTAGACCTGGAACAGGCAAATAAAAAGTAAAATAACAAAAATGCCTGAGGAAAATTCAAAACGGAAAGTCCATAATCGAATGGCAAAATCAAAAGCTCAAACACATCAAACGAATGGATAACAACTGTCATATTCCTGGCTTAGTACAGGCACACCACTGACTTAATTTTGAAGTGGTACAGGCATATCTATGACTTGGATTTTTAAGACATCAAAAGAACTTCTGGAAAATTTAAAATATCGGTAATTTTCTGCAATAAATTCTATCTAAACCTTTTCACCTTTTACACCACTATAACACATGAATCATTAAAAATCATTCTTAAAGGAATAATCAACAATACTTACCGCCATAAAAATGGTACCATACGCTACAAAGTTATTGTTTTGGGATATATTTCTACATATTTTGTTAAAAATGAGCCCGAAAATAAAACATGCTACACGGAAGAACAAGTTATCAGTATGTGGAGTTTCTCATTGACAACATATATGTTGAATTTTGGAGGTAAAATTTAAAGCAGGATGTCGGCATTCATATGGGAACTAACTGTGCACCACTCCTGGTCGAACTTTTTTTTTCTTCATAAGAGTCGGAGTTCCTACGGACACTTGTAAAAAACAAGAAAATCAAAGGACCTAGATCATTTGATTTCATATATAGGTATATTGATGGTGTTCTTTCCATTAACAATCCAAACTTTTCGGATTGGGTCCTACTAATATATCCTCCTGAACTAGAGACTAAAGAAACCACAGATACAGCTTCCTCCGCATCACTTCTAGACATGTACCTCGAATTTGACAAAAGCGGTCAACTCAGTATCATAATCTATGACAAAAGAGACGATTTCAATTTTTGTAATTATAAATTTTCCTCTCCTTAGCACCAATATACCAGCTACAATCAAGTCAAATTGTGCTGATATAGTTAGTAGACAGTCACTCTTTATAGGAGTGATTACCCGTAAATGAAGAACTTTTTTTAACCTCTTTTGTATTTTGAGCAAAACCTAGAGAAGACAGAGAGAAACTAAACACACAAAACGATCAGCAATACAAGATCTACAAAAAAGAGATGTTTGTCATGAATTTTATTCTTGTCTACAATGTTGGAGAGTGTCCTTTGTTGATTATGCAAATAGATGTCAGAACGACACAGGCTCTTTAGAGCCTCTAGTTCGCTGGCATCTTTGTTAGATTAATTTGTATTTTTGTTTAAACTTTTTATTCAGTTGAATTGTATATGTCTATGTATGTTTACATAGTTTTGGCTGCTGGATCTCAATTATTGTCACATTAACCAATTATGTTTGGGTTGCTTTCCCAATGTTGTCCATTGAGAGGAACAAGAAATAAGAAGATGTGGTATGAGTGCCAATGAGACAACTCTCCATCCAAGTCACAATGTGTAAAAAGTAAACCATTATAGGTAAATGTACACGGAACCTTAGCTCACAACGAACAGCAAGATATAAAGGGCCCCAAAATGACTAGTGTAAATCAATTCAAACAGGAAAACCGACGGTCTAATCTATAAAAAAAACGAGAAACGAGAAACACTTATGAACCACATCAACAAACGACAACCACTGAACAATAGGTTCCTGACTTAGGACAAGTGCAAATAAATGGCATACAAGTGGGAGTTTTAGCTAGCACTAAAACCAGGTTTGAACAGCGGTATACTACTGTTGCCTTTATTTAACCCACCATTTTCTTGGAAAATGCCTTTTCCAAGTCAGGAGTATGGTAGTTGATTTTCACTTGTTCCCGTTGATTGATAGTATTTGATTTTGTCAATTTTTTTGGACTTCCCCTTTTTTGAAATTGCCTTATGAGTTTGGTATTTTTGTTTTATTTTTTATGGTACATGCATACAACTGTCATTATTCTGACATTTAATAGGCAAGTAATTAAGTGGTATAATTCTGAATTGAATCTAACAAAATACTAGTTCTGTTCTTGGTACAAGCAAATAACTGTTGAACTTAACTTGGTACAAGTCAGAGCTTCTGCAATCACTTGTCAGTCATTTTGAGTTTTGATAGTGTTAATACTGCAAATAGCAATACCAATGCAAACCAAAACTGGATCAGGATCACAGGCTAACCATTATTGTAATTGTTTGTAACGGATTCAGTTATCTCCCTTCCATTTCCAATTAAAAAAGGACTCAAAGCCTCAAATGGCCAGGTTGCAATATTTTTACTGTTTTGTTTCAAGGAACTGGGTCAAAAAATGTAGGAGGATTTGATTACACAATTGCCTGCCATCACCATAATATTAGTCAGTTTTGAACTACTTTAATCCAGGTAATAAATACAAAAGCTTTCTTAAAAACAGCTGCATATTATGGAAATTTCCAAGTGTATCACCAAGCTTCTTTCTGAAATACCATGGCAAAAAACAAAACTACAAACAATAGTCTACAAAACACAACATAGAAAACTAAAGACTGAGCAACAACAATCCCACCAAAAACTGGGGGTAATCTCAGACACATTTGTCAAAGGAACATGACAGTTTTGCATAGCAATTCATGGTCCCCTACCAGCTCAAATTTCATTGTACTGGAAGAAAATTCTAAGTTAATTGGTAATTTGTAATATATTTTATATTAAAAAAAGTCCAAATATCTCCTGATGCAAATATTGAAATATTGAATACTTAATTTGTTTATACTAAAATATATCAAAAGTGTTCTTGTGAATAAAGTTTCACTAAAGGAGTTGCATCAACAAGATTTCAATAGACAGATCAACAGACAGTGTGATATCTATTTATTTAAAGGGTTTTTTATGCAAAACATTAAAATATTTATAACTTGTCATGGTAAAAGTATATTCCAAATACCAGATCAATGTCTTTAAGCATGACAAAAAAGTGCAGAAAACTGATTACTTGCGTGAATTTTCTAAGTCTAAGGACCATGACTTTGCACAAAATCATCAGACCAGAACAAAATTTAAACTTGATCTGTAACTGGTCATGATAAAACTATATATCAAATATCAAATCAATATATATTGTAGCATAAAGAAAAATGTGTTGAAAACTGATTTCCTGAACTGAAGGAAAGACAGACGGATTGCAAAACTAAAGTCTCCTTCAGCTTTGCCTGTAGGGGACTAATAAGCTATCTTAACATGCTGGTAGCAAGGAGTTATTTGAATTGATGAAGCTTTGACTTAAATAGTCAAATCTCAACTTCAACAATCTTAACTATTTTTTGTTTGTTAATGTGTTATCTGTATCGAATTAATTGTTTCACAATAAAATACAAAACATCAACACAATTTCCACATGGAAGGCAACAAGTGACCAGAAAACTATCACTTTCATGTAAGAAGGCCAGGGAATATCAAACAAACAAAATCATCATACCATTGTATACTAATAATAAGTGAAAAATCTACCAAGGATAAGCTCTATTTTTCAGTAAATTGTAATAGCTGAGTGAAAAGTATATCAACCATTGCAATTCACATAAATGTTCTGGAACTACGTATGATACAATTGTAAACCAACTATTAGCTCATTATCTGTTATGAGGGCTGACTTTTTGAAAAGATTTGTCATGTTGGTTTTCCATTAGGAACATCAGACCTAAGTATGGAACAGTAATTATCACTGCTGATAAATTTCGTGAAAGATTTATTTTTAAAAGTTTATAGACCTACACAAATGGTGACAGATAATGGAGCCAAATGATAAAAACATGTAACAGTGATCAAATGACCAGATTAAAAGCATTTGGACTACTAGATTTCATAGTTAACTAGATGTGTCAAAACAACACAAATGGCCCTGCTAGCAAAATAAACTTGAAGCCATTTTTTTTGGAGTGGATATTTGAGAATAAAAGTCTGTATAACTGTTATTTTCACAAAATTTTCAAAGTTCAAAGCCTGTATTTCAGCAAAAACCAGCGGAGCAGAACCAAAACCTAAACTCGATCTGTAACTGATCATAGTAGACTCACATACTAGAATTCAGCTCAATATGTGAAGGCGTTTAGAAAAAAAAGTCTGTATAAAAGTGTTCGTTCAGAATGACGGATGACAGATGAGGGGACATTATATTGCCCCGACCACTTAGTGGCTGGACCATAATAACAAAAAAAATCAATTAAAAAAGCCCTTTCTACCTTTGACTTTGAAAGAAATTTACCATACAATGTTTGTTTACTAAAAATTTATTATCTCAGAATAAATGAAATGTTGATAAATGTTTTCTGGTCAAGGTATTTCTTCAGAATGTTTCTCTCTTTCCTGTGATGACACCCATCTTGATAATACCATTTCCTATGAAACAAATATAGTATTTTTACTGTACATATAGAATAATGGCATTTTTGTTTTTGATTTTGACATTATCAGCAACATTATTTAGCTAGGGCAAGCTCATATTTCAGATGATGAATTCAGTATCAAGAAATTAAATAGCATTATTCCTTTTATTGGCAAATTGTATAAACGATTTACTTTTAAAAATATGAAATTACACTAATTTTACGCGTTCAGAGTGTTGTGATTGTTGTTCCTTGTGTGAATGACCTTGCATTCATTTAATTGATAATGATGCAGAATGACCTGAAAATGTGAAGTTGCTGTATTGTTATGTGACGAAAAATGTACAAACTGCAGATACAATATAAATATCAGACAATATCTGCATCTATAAAATCGAAATATGAAGAAGTATACTATTTAACATGTAGGTGTCATTAGTGGAATTAAGAAAATAAACTGACAACACACTGGCTAAAACAGAAAAAGGACCAACAAACACCTGTCGTGTTGCTCCTGTTAGTACTAACCCGCTCATAACTCTTCACAAGCACCTGAATCATTCATGTTTTTTGTTAAGATTCAATTTAATCAACAGTTTCTTTTTAGCATTTTGAGGATGATTGTTTGCCTATTCATCTTTAAGCATAGCGTTGTCTGTTTCTTTGACTTATGATTTTTTTCTCCTTCCCTTTTTTCACATACAGTATAGATACTTGTCTTACATTAAAGAACTTTTCTTGACCTCTCAATGTCTTTTCAATAAAATAAAGGGTATTGAGACTTTTCCAACTTTAAAATTAAGTCTTCATCTTATAATAATTTCTTTCTGTTAGTAAGAAATAATTCCTTGAATTTGTTTTCAATTACATTTTGAATTTGTATTCTCTACATATCTAAATAACTTATAAACACAATATTTAATTTTCATGTCATTATCAATATCAGTACAAACCTTAACTTTGAATTGTGGGATACATTTAGGTGACAATAGATCTTCTTCTGTTAAACTGTTAGGTCTAATCACATGACATATCAAGACTTCCTGTTGAACAAAGATAAATATACAAATGAGAAGGCTTGCTTAATTATTCTGCGGAAAAAAACAAAAAATAGCTATTTTCCTGTTTATCAAGCATAATCCTCAAAAAACAAAAGAGTAAATCATTCAAGCTAAATATAAATCTGCCTTTTGTGGTCACTTACAACATTTTGAATTTTAAGACTATTCTATGCAGGCCTGCTAAAGGTCTTGTCACTTATCAATAGGCATAACACTGGAAAGAAAAAAATGGCATAGGACAAACTTGAACTATATCTGTGTTCAGTGGTCTCAAACAACATTTTCAGTTTCAAATTTGGAGGAGGCATACTGGAGTAATTATGCAGAAACCGAAAATTTTGCTATTTTCCTATATTTTTTTATAAATTATGGGACATGCGTACATTGTAATTCTTAAACCTTAAATCTGTGTTAAGGGGTCTGTAACAACTAACAACATTTTCCAATTTACATACCTACAAACAAGAACAAAACTATATGCTTTTGTGTAATAATAATACCTTTGTTGCCTTTCCCTGGGGTATTAAAAAAACGATGTTTCAATAATTATTTAACTTCTTTGTTCAGTAAGTCTATTGAGTCCTGTCTGATTGGTCCACATAAGGTCTCGTCTGTGGTACTAAAGGCCTATCAACCTTAACCATTTGTTCAGTCATATTATTGAGTCCTACTGAACTGGTCCATATAATGTTTCTATTGTGATAACAGAGGGCTACTTACTTTAGCTACTTGTTCATTAAGTCTGTTTTGCCCTGCATGATTGGGTTCATGTAATGTGTCCCCTAGGTATATAAGGGCTACTTACTTTAGCAATTTGTTCAGTAAGTCTGGTAAGTGATGCCAGATTAGTCCATGTCAGGTCTCTAGTGTGGTATTAAAGGACTACATACCTTAGCTACTTGTTCAGTAAGTCTGTTAAGTCCTGCCAGATTAGTCCATGTCAGGTCTCTAGTGTGGTATTAAAGGACTACATACCTTAGCTACTTGTTCAGTAAGTCTGTTAAGTCCTGCCAGATTAGTCCATGTCAGGTCTCTAGTGTGGTATTAAAGGACTACATACCTTAGCTACTTGTTCAGTAAGTCTGTTAAGTCCTGCCAGATTAGTCCATGTCAGGTCTCTAGTGTGGTATTTAGGGTCTTCCTCTAAAGAATCTTCCAACACCATCTTAACTATCACTGAGTAACTACCATGATAAAAAGCTGGTCCTTCTTTGTATATTACTGAAAAAGATATGCTTCATGATGAAAACTAACTTTTCCTTGTGTCATATCTGATATTACTTCATACCAAAAAAAAAGATTTGCCCTGATTGTTTGTATCATCAAACATGACAATAGTATTACAGTACGATTTAAATGATATTAAATTTATCCCCCTTTTTGATATTTTGATAAGGTGTACTGATGGTACTCCTACATATATAGAAGATACTGGTGGTACTCCTACATATATAGAAGATACTGGTGGTACTCCTACATATATAGAACTACAGATATGGAGAAGCAGGAAACATCAGGAAAAGGCTATCAGAACTAAAATTACAACCCTTACAAGAATAAAGGAAGCAACAATGCCTTGTCATGTTTTACAAGGTGGTTGTGTGACTGATGCCAGCACATCACAGAGCAACTACACAACAGCAATATGAGACAGATCAAAGCAACAACTTTGATGTCAGAAAAAGTAAAACATTGTCAAAAGACAAGAAACAAAATACACAGGATTAATTAACTTCATGTATTCAGTGCTTCACTGAAACAATAATTCTTTGTAAGAACTATAATAGATTTGAATCACATGCATGACATGGAGGATGATACAACATGCATAAAGACTTGGGTTGCTCATTAATGAAGGCTGTACTGTGACCTATAGTTGTTTACTTTTATGTCATTGGTCTCTGATGAAGAGTTGTCTCATTGGAAATTATACCACATCTTCTTATTTTTATATTTAGTTGCAATCACCAAAAGTATATAGTCTTGCTGCTCTCCTTCAAGAGTGAAGAAAACAGTGAACAGTTCCTGCACTGTGTAATCATACAGATATAAAAATGAATCACTTTAAATAAAACCATGACTGTTAAATGCCCTGTCAGTATTTTTTATCAAATAAAAGTTAAAAGTGAAATAAATAACAATGACTTGATTCTTGATTAGAGATAGGAGTAAGTTTGGTTACGGCCATATTTGAACCCAATTATCAAGGTCATTGTCTCAAGAGAAAAAATATTCCATGTAGACGAAAATTCACTTATTAAGTAAGAGAAAATGATCTGTTTCTGTCAAGATTTTCTAACAACACGTTGATATCTACATTCAAAATAGTCCAAAAGTAGAGATTTTGTGACATTTGACCAAATCCTCTGAATTTCAACCAAATTTAGGCGTAGGAAACATAGTGCATAGCCTTCAACAAACTAGATATTCATTATTTTTTTGTCAACTTATGCGCTCTGTGTTTCCAGTCCAAAAAATTAATGGTAATTGACTTGTTTTCATTGATTTTTAGTGGAAAATCTAAATGTGTTCTATTTGTGGCGTCATCAAAAAAGCACTAATGTGTAAATTTTCATCAAAAAGACCTATATCCTATCTAGTCATTGCTTTAGCTATGATTCATTGTGATATTGGTCAATAAAATCTTATTTTATATTTTAGCTAGAAATAGGGGCTTTATAGAACCTACTCCTTCCTTTTTACATAATCATGAACAAATCAGTAAATAAAGGCAATATAGTAAGGATACCGCTGTTCAATAGTCATAAATCGATTTAACTGAAACAAATCCGGGTCACAAACCGAAACTGAGGGAAACACATCAGCTTAAGAGGAAAAAAAAAACAAAAAATCAAAAAAACGGAACAACAGAAACACTGAACTGCAGTAAAATTTTCCTATATTCTAAATTTCAGACATTCCTCTGTCAAGTATGTAAACAGTGGCAGTATGCAGTTATACAAATATCACAATAAGAATTTTTTTCTCAACTGAAATTAGGTCATACTTTTTGTTATTTTACTCATCGTGAATGTGATAAAAGGAAAGGGTTGAGTACTTACAAAACTCATTTTAATCTGGCTGATATTGATGTCTGCCTGTCAGGTACATCATCAGTGGTTGTCACTTATCAACATATCTTTTGTACATCAACTATGATGATAGATCTTTAGTTGACTCTTTTTTCGTTTTCATTTACAACTTAAGTCTTGAATTATGGCAATAAGAAATAAACAACTTTCGAGTTCAATGCATTTCCATCAAAAACTTTGGTTTTAATGAACATCATTCGTGCATTTAGGGGCATCGTCACTCCCGTTCCCATGTTGAGCGAGTAGTTGGAGAAATATGATGCTATATTGCACTAATTGTTCGGCAAATTAAATTCTTATAATTGATAATCAGCACTGCTGTCATTAGGGAATTATGATTAAGTACCTACGGAACAAACTTTATTTCTAGTTTATACTGCACAATGAAGAACACAAAGACCCTTGATGAATGTTAATAATGCAGTGATACAGGCGATCCCCTCTATCTGGTAAATGACGGCATAAAGGCGCGCATAATTGATGACTTTTTTCCAGTGAAGGACATAACTCGAAAGTGGTCTATTGGTTTGTTATTGAAACATGTTCATCATTAAAGATTGTATGCTGACCTTCATTTTCGTTTAATTTCTAAGTTGCTGTCTTATTCATGTATGGAAGACATTTTAACAATATCAAATCAAGTTAAAAGATGTATTGTAAAAAATTTCTTTCCTCAAAAGAGTAAACAAAACTTACTGAAATCTGAACCGAATTTGAGTCCTGTTTTAGGTACCCATCCTTTACTCCTATAATAATGATACGCTATATAATTAGGAATGAAAGTTTGTTGTTTACTGCTGAAAGTCTGCCACATCTCTGTTAAATCTGGAGTTCTCTGAAACACAATAAGTATAACAAGGTAATATTGCTAACATCTAACCTCAATAATTTCTAGTCTGAGGAAGGTTGCAATTTGTATCTTCATGCATTATTTAGTTGATTTGTTTCCTCATGCTTTTAAATTGTGACAACGCCATGGCAAAAAAAATAAGGGCCTTTTCAAAAGACTAACAACAGTATACAAATCAAAGCACGAAAGCGCTGTAAAGGCAGTTAATTACAGGTTGTGTGTATTTTAAGTCCAGTTATATCATTATCTTGCATAAAACAGTGTACTTATCAGAGGTGGCTTTCAGTATTTAAGATTTAGAGTTCTCTAATGATATTGAATAAGTTTTATGAATGTCATATTCTGAGCACTATATGAAGGCGATTGTTCTCACTTGTTTATGAACTAGTGCATTATGTCCAGTTTGTACCTTTTTTATCTATGTTTATAGTCAAATTAGTTATCAAAGGTACCAGGATTATAATTTAATACGCCAGACGTGTGTTTCGTCTACATAAGACTCATCAGTGACGTTCAGATCAAAATACACAATGTAGTAACAAAGCCAAACAAGTACAAAGTTGAAGAGCATTGAGGACCCAAAATTCCAAAAATTTGTGCCAAATACGGCTAAGGTAATCTATTCCTTGGATAAGACAAGAGTGCACACGCTGAAATGTCTCGCCTTCTTTACTAATCATTGATATTATGTTGATAGTCCTAAATATAAAGCTTTACTACAACTATCACATACACTTAACATGATCCAAGAAAATGAGGTCAAGGTCATATAAACCAAACAAGAAATACATGTACACCTGACAATCATTCAATACACTAAATATAGTTGACCTATTGTTTATAGTTTCTAAGATACAGACTTAACCAAGAAAACTAAACATTGACCAATGAACCAAGAAAATGAGGTCAAGGTCAGATGAACAATGCCAGGCAGACATGTACTACAGCTTGCAATCCTTCCATACAACAAATATAGTTGACCTTTTGCTTATAGTATTAGAAAAACAGACCAAAACACAAAAACTTAACACTGAGCAATGAACCTTGAAAATGAGGTCAAGGTCAAATAAAACCTGCAAGACTGACAGGTACATCATAAAATATTTCCATACACCAAATATAGATGACCTATTGCATATAGTATTAGAAAAAAAGACCAAAACTCAAAAACTTAACTTTGACCACTGAACCATGAAAATGAGGTCAAGGTCAGATGACACCTGCCCGCTAGACATGTACACCTTACAATCATTCCATACACCAAATATAGTAGACCTATGGCATACAGTATAAGAAAAACAGACTAAAACACATAAACTTAACTATAACCACTGAACCATGAAAATGAGGTCAAGGTCAGATGACACCTGCCAGTTGGACATATACACCTTACAGTCCTTCCATACACCGAATATACTAGACCTATTGCTTATAGTATCTAAGATATGGACTTGACCACCAAAACTTAACCCTGTTCACTGATCCATGAAATGAGGTCGAGGTCAAGTGAAAACTGTGTGACGGACATGAGGACCTTGCAAGGTACGCACATACCAAATATAGTTGAACTATTGCATATAGTATTAGAAAAAAAGACCAAAACTCAAAAACTTAACTTTGACCACTGAACCATGAAAATGAGGTCAAGGTCAGATGACACCTGCCCGCTAGACATGTACACCTTACAATCATTCCATACACCAAATATAGTAGACCTATGGCATACAGTATAAGAAAAACAGACTTAAACACAAAAACTTAACTATAACCACTGAACCATGAAAATGAGGTCAAGGTCAGATGACACCTGCCAGTTGGACATGTACACCTTACAGTCCTTCCATACACCGAATATACTAGACCTATTGCTTATAGTATCTGAGATATGGACTTGACCACCAAAACTTAACCTTGTTCACTGATCCATGAAATGAGGTAGAGGTCAAGTGAAAACTGTCTGACGGGCATGAGGACCTTGCAAGGTACGCACATACCAAATATAGTTATCCTATTACTTATAATAAGAGAGAATCTAACATTACAAAAAATCTTAACTTTTTTTTCAAGTAGTCACTGAACCATGAAAATGAGGTCAAGGACATTGGACATGTGACTGACGGAAACTTCGTAACATGAGGCATCCATATACAAAGTATGAAGCATCCAGACCTTCCACCTTCTAAGATATAAAGCTTTTAAGAAGTTAGCTAACGCCGCCGCCGCCGGATCACTATCCCTATGTCGAGCTTTCTGCGACAAAAGTCGCAGGCTCGACAAAAATCCTTAGTTTTTTCATTGGCAATCATAACACATCTCCTTATTTATATAATGATCTATATTCAACGACCTCAGGTACAAAAAAAATGTATGTAACTAAACTATGATGGGAAACCTTTGACTTCTTTCTTTATATAAACTTTTGATTTGGTACCATAGAACTATGTAGAGTAAATGTACATTGCAACATGTCAACTCTTTCAACTCCAAGCAAAATTATATTTCCAAGCATAAAGTAATTTATGAATGAAATAAAATGCTCCCCTGGGGCGCAGCTTGATACGACCGCAGAGGTCGAACCCTGAACAGTTGGGGCAAGTATGAACACAACATTCAAGCTTGATTCAGCACTGAATTTGGATTGTAATTAAATATTTGACACAGCATAGGTTTCTGACACAGAATGAAAGTGGTCTAAGATACTTAAAAAAATTTAATTTACCTATTCAAACCATATCATTATTATTTGCTTTTATATATAAATCAGAAATAACCAATTTAAAATGGAAAATTTTAAAGAAAAAAAAGGAAAAAGAATCCCCCACCCCCAATTTTTTGAACCCCCTTATGATTCATCACCCCAAAACTCAATCCCAGCCTTCCCTTTGTGGTATGGTACCTTGCAGTACAATTTCAGAGAGATCCATACACTTGAACACATGTTATTGTCTGGAAACTAGAAAAATGCTTGTTTTTGGCCCCTTTTTGGTCCCAAATTCCTAAACGTTTAGGGCAATTACCCCCAAACTCAAACCCAGCTTTCCCTTTGTGATATGGAACCTTGTAGTACAATTTCATAAAGATCCATACGCTTACACACAAGTTATTGCCATGAAACTAGAAAAATGCTTGTTTTTTGCCCCTTTATGGCCCCTAATTCCTAAAATTTGGAGGCAATTACCCCCAAATTCAATCCCAGCATTCCCTTTGTGATATGGAACCATGTGATACAATGTCAGAGAGATCCATAGACTTACACACAAGTTATTGTCATGAAACTAGAAAAATGCTTGTTTTTTGCCCCTTTTTGGCTCCTAATTCCTAAAATTTGGAGGCAATTACCCCCAAAATCAATCCCAGCATTCCCTTTGTGGTATGGTACCTTGCAGTACAATTTCAGAGAGATCCATACACTTGAACACAAGTTATTGTCTGGAAACTAGAAAAATGCTTATTTTTGGCCCCTTATTCCTAAACTTTTTGGGCAATTACCCCCAAACTCAATTCCAGCTTTCCCTTTGTGATATGGAACCTTGTAGTACAATTTCATAAAGATCCATACACTTACACACAAGTTATTGCCATGAAACTAGAAAAATGCTTGTTTTTTGCCCCTTTTTGGCCCCTAATTCCTAAAATTTGGAGGAAATTACCCCCAAATTCAATCCCAGCATTCCCTTTGTGATATGGAACCTTGTGATACAATGTCAGAGAGATCCATAGACTTGCACACAAGTTATTGTCATGAAACTAGAAAAATGCTTGTTTTTTGCCCCTTTTTGGCCCCTAATTCCTAAAATTTGGAGGCAATTACCCCCAAAAATCAATCCCAGCATTCCCTTTGTGATATGGAACCTTGTGGTACAATGTCAGAGAGATCCATACACTTACACACAAGTTATGTCTGGAAGTTACAAAAATGCTTATTTTTGGCCCCTTTTTGGCCCCTAATTCCTTAACTGTTGGTACCATAACCCCCAAAATCAATCCCCACTTTCCTTTTGTGGTATTGAACCTTATTTTAAAATTTCATTGAGATCCATTCACTTAAACCTAAAGTTAGAGTGCGAAAACTAATGTGTCTTCGGACGATGACGCCGGACGACGACGACGTCATACCAATATACGACCACAAAAATTTTTTTGCGGTCGTATAAAAAGGAGTTCTTAATTAAGAAATAAACTGATTCGCTGAGCGCAGCTGGATACACCCGCAGAGGTACTACCCTGAACAGCTGGGGCAAAAATGGACACAATATTCAAGCTTGATACAGGTCTGAATTTGGATTGTAATTAAATATTTGACATATTATAGTTTCTGAATAAATGTAGTCAATGAACTTGAAATCGGTTATATGAATTGAATTTATATTCAATTAAAGATTTCTTGCTGTTGTGCAATACACTGTGCTGTTGTGCAATACTTAATAAATCTGTTGCCAGTTCAATTTCTTCTCAATGTCATATTTGAAATTTATGAAAATCAATAGGGAGATTACATCAATAGCTATAAATAATTCACCAAAGTTTCATGTGAACTGCTTAAAGCATTTTTGAGTTGTTGTCCAAAAACTGGAAAATCCCCCCTTTTTTAATGAATAAAACCCCATAACTCAGAAATGTAAAATCTAAAATTTATAAAATTCTAAAGGGAGCTTACGGATTGATAATTTAGTCTTAGATGCAAGATTTTTTTATCAGTTGTTAGTGGCTTTGAACTAGCTGTCAGTAACTGCGAGTACTCTCAGATTTGTACTTAGTGTCTTTTTGTTGTTTGGATGTACAACTACCCGACCACGTCCACTTGTATTTGTATTTATCCATCTGATGAGTTTAGCCTCTTTCAACTGATTTTTATAGTTCTTTCTTATATTGTACTGTTACACCACTGTCCCAGGTTAGGGGGAGGGTTAAGATCCCGCTAACATGTTTAAGCCCGCCACATTCTGTATGTACATGTATGTGCCTGTCCCAAGTCAGGAGCCTATAAAAGTGTAATTCAGTGGTTGTCGTTTGTTTATGTGTTGCATATTTGTTATATTTGTTCATTTTTTTACATAAAATAGGCCGTTAGTTTTCTTGTTTGAATTGTTTTACATTGTCATTTCTGGGCCTTTTATAGCTGACTGTGCGGTATGGGCTTTGCTCATTGTTGAAGGCCGTACTGTGACCTTTAGCTGTTAATTTCTGTGTCATTTGGTCTCTTGTGCATGTGTGGAGAGTTGTCTCATTGGCAATCATACCACATCTTCTTTTTTATATTTACATCAACAGATATAAAAAATTCACCAAAGTCAAGGTGAGACAACAAAACTTAGTTGTAAGATCTCTGAAATTTTTTACAGGGTACGAGTTTTTCTCATTGTTGGAGATTGTACGGTGACAGTAACACCTGTAACTGCTTAAACCCATTTCTTATGCACTTTAGTTTGATAAACTCACTGAATATCATACCACATCTCCTTATTTTTATATGCATTACAATTTACATGTGCATGTAATTGTGAATATATATATATCATAACAAAATTCATTGCGTCACTTTTATTTATGCATCCTTTGGCACAATATATATACAAGTTCTAAAATTACACAACATAAAACAACTAAATGTTATTTCAGATGAAAGTTTTGTTTCAGTTCCATTCATAGGATTTATTAGAATTTTGTATGTTTTGCCAAGTCCAATAATTCGCTCTATGTGACATAGAGACATAGTTTACTAAACCACCAGGTGTCGAACATTCAAGAATTTTCAGTGTTTCTGTTTTTATTTGATGAAAAGGTTGCCTGAGCTCTAGGAACTTTAGGTTTTATCACGGGATATTCTGTGCTGTCAATAATAATCCAAGTCGTAGGAAACTTTAATTTGAAGTTGGATGGTGAAAAATACCTGACTAAACCACAAGATGGCCAAGTGTTAGCCTCACACCACTGTTTAGACATAAAAACAATCCATGTATACACAATATTCTTAACACTAGATTCAATCTAGAATCTAGACAGTTCAAAGTTGGTTGTATGATGCCTCAATTTCATCAAAGTCATAAAAAAACTGATTTTCAACTGACACCCTATCAATTTGAAAATATATGTATCTCAAACAATGTGCTGCTGGACCAAGTGTGGTCAAAACAAATAAAAATTTAGTATACAACTCTAAACCGGTATAAAAATGCATGGCTGTGTCACGTGTCTTCATTTCCAAATTCTCTGCTGAAAACATAGGCATTGATGGTGTTTGCGTAATTCCATCTGTGAAGCTCAACATTAGCTCGGCAGTTGGTGGTGGACAGTCATAAATCCTTTCTGCAGTATGAATGACTTCTTCAGGAAAACCAACTTTACAATCAAAACTTTCCTCTAGATTTCTACTACAATCTTCATCAAGTTTAGTTCTTTTGTTTTCACAGGAAACTGCCCTGATTTTTCTTTTTGCGGACGATTCAGTCTCTTGCTTGGTCCAGGAAAATAGGCTGGGAATTGCAGTAGACTTAAGTCTCTGTATGGTGGGTTTGCGCCCTGAAAAAGGTTATAAAACATTAGTTTTTTTATAATTAAATGAACTTCCATTAGCAATGTATACTCTGTACTACCTGGCGAAATATTAACTAGATTTATTCATTACAATCTGGATAAAACTATGTTTGCCTGATTCAATGTATGTTATGTAAATCCAGAGGACAAACAATGAGAGACTTATGCAACAAACGTACATTGTTTGTACCTAAATAACTATAATATAGATGAGAGCATGTCATTGTTTTGTTCCTGTTAACATTGTCATTGATATTTTTCAAGAAAGTCTATGAGGCATAGCTTATGCATTCCTGTCATTAGACATTACTACATTAACATAATTACTGCTAAAATAATTCTCAGTATGATATACCTCTTGTAAGAAATCATTATAATTGTAGCAATCACCAAAAAATCTCAAACAGATCATATTGAATCGTAATCCAAAAAATTATGACGTCTTGAATTACCCACCCCCTTTTATTCTAAAACGATAATTGCGGTTGTAAACAGACTTTGGTTTATTCGCATGGCGATTACATATATAACTATATATTTCACAAAGAAAATAGAGTTTTACCATGAATAGTTTCCTGCACGTAGTCTTTTTCAGTAAAACGTGCCTTGCAAACAACAGCTGATTGAGATGGACTCCACGATATCATCGTGTTCTCGTCCAATCTGCGTATGGGCCATGGCGTTGATCCAACTTTTCCTTCTTTTTAAGTCATTTGGAAATGCATGTCCTCCTCTTAAATGACATCCAGGTACACAACAACAAGTACTTGGCATCGTTAATTAAAAATATAACTGAAATAGTTGCACAGTGCAGAAACCGGAAGTAGAGGAACAGGATCCGCTACCACGGCGCCACCTATTAAGGAACGATAATTTGCTACTTTATATAACTGCGAAAATAACGTTAGACGGGTTCACGTGCATAAACAGAAATGCGCTTTAAATTGTATAATATAATTCATGTTCAGTCGACCTTTAATTATTATATCAACGACTGAAATGATTTATAAACATCTAGATTGCAGATAACACTCGAAATTAACCCGAGCTCTTTCCACACGGAATTCAAATAATTCTAGTTTGTCAATCGGTTGACTGCTTATAATGCAAAATACTAATATATCAAAAGTTTTTAAAACTAACAAAACAAAATGATCGTTTCTCTATTTCCCAATGTAAATGAAATGAAACAAAAAACATTTTATATCGCAATAAGAAGAGGAGAGAATTCAACATTTCCGGATCTACTTGGAGTCTAATGACCCCCCACGTAGATAAGTTGGATATCGCGGAAGGAAGGATTAACCCGGCAACTAGAAAGGCATTAAAGCACTGCCTTTAAAAACAACATAGAAAACTAAAGACTGAGCAACACATACTCCACCAAAAACCTTGGTGTGAACTAAGGTTCTCTGGAATGGTAAGCAGATCCTGCTCCACATGTAACTATGAAAAATTTTAAATAAGTTTTTGACCTTGATTGACCTTCACTGAAGGGTTTTCTTCCTTATACCAGACATACCTTCTAATAGTGGTAAATGATTATGTCAAGTTTCATTACCAACTCTATTAAAGGTGTAAAAAAGTTAGAAAGCGGAGAGGATTTGTGACAGATGGTAGCGCAGATGCACATGCTGATAACGAAAGGCCTTCTGCCAATCAATCTGTGTTGTTGTAATAAATTGTAATAAACAAACCAAAACAACTTGTTTTCAATCTCTGAGGCAATTAAAATGTTGCAAAATAGTTAGGACTTTCAGGACATACACTAATTTCTAAATGAATTTTACTGATTATATGAAATTGTTTGGTTGCTGTCCCATTTACATACTTCATACAATTGATTCTGTTGCAGTACAAACTTACTTCTGTGTCATCTTTTACTACCAGACAACCAAGACCATAGGACAAGAAAAATGCCTGAAATATATAATTAATCAAGAAATTGATGAAATTTTGTAAAGTGGTGTAAGACATTTTTCTATGGTATTAATCTAGCTATGAATGGCTGAAATTGCAAAATTTAATATTAAATCTTAAGCAATGTGGTCATTAATTAGTGCTTTAATTCTTTTTACATATTTTTCCTGAAGAATTTTAATTTAAAAGGATACAGCTAATATAAGATATTTTTTGCATCAATAGTTTTTTTTTTATGGAACATACATGTATAATATAGATATGAAACTATGAGTTTTAATATAATTTTGGATGATTTAAATCAATAAAAATATGTACTTTGGTCATGTTGGTTGGTGTGTATTGCATACAATTCATAACAAATTAATCTTCAAAACATTTCTTTCAAAGGACTAACATGCATGACATGTGTAAACAAAAAATTACTTATTTCCATAAATATTGCTGAAAGATTTTCATGTATTCTGGAAAAAAAATTGCAAGTACAAATAATTTTTCTCCATTCCCTTTTATATATTCTTTTATATTTTTTCAAAGTGGTTTAATCTTTGTTTAATTAATTGAATACATTAAATAAGTTACATGTATAACAATTCAAGGACTATAACTAATATACTGTTAACTTTACCTCCTCAAAAGATAAATGAAGATTTTCTTTTACGAAGAATGGATCCTTTTTCAAAACAGGTCTCCATTTTTTCTTCTTCCTAGATATTTTTCTTCTCTTACAAACCTCTGCTTCACTGTCAGAATCATCAACAATAAATAAATCCCCCTCAGTATCATCTGACTTATAAAGAGAGTCTAAATCACTATCTGAACTTTCTGTATCCGACAGTTTAGATTTTTCAGTTTTAAACTCAATAACATTATCCAACATATTTGTTTGGGAAATTTGGAAATCACTTTGTTTGCTGTCAATTTCAACGTCCATTTCTATTTCAGAATTGTCAAATGAAATAGCATCTCTTTGATCAAAATTTGTTTCTTTGGCCAAATTATAAATATCTCCATGATTTTCATGTTCTAAATTAGATTCTTTCTGAGAATTTTGCGACTTTTCCACCTGAGGTAAAATGTTTGTTCTTTTTGAAGAATCAGTGTCTTTTACCTCAGTAACGTCTATAAATTCAGAGTTCTTTTTAGAATCATCATTCCAAATATCACCAGATTTATGTATTTCAACGTTTTGAGTTTTGTTTATTCCAGGTATTGTTGCAGATAAAGTCTCATCTCCCCAGAATTCAGCATCCTCTTCCCATAAGTCCTCTTTACTTCCTGTGTTACTGGTTTCCCATTGGCTTGCTGGTTCTGCCCATAAGTCTTTAGGCATTGCACTGAAAGGTTTTGTTTGTGAATGAAATAATTTACTGCCATCATCAATACTTGGATTTGAAGTGTTTTCCTTGTCTTCTGTTACAGAAAGTTTTGATTCAGAATTCCCTGCAAAAAAGCATCGTTGGATGTGATCTATCAATTATTGTAATAATTTCTATAATATTTAAGGGGGAAAAAAGTTTCCACATTTATTGCAAAGGAAATAAAACCTTTCCCCACAATCAGTTGGTGTTTACCTTGCTTTCTAAATTTTTGCAAAGTGAGCTGTCCTCTTTGGATTGACAAAAATAATATGTGGTATGATTGCCAATGAGACAACTTTTCACCAGAGACCAAATGTCTTTGAAGTTAACAACTATAGGTCACTGTATGGTCTTCAACAATGAGCAAAACCGATACCACATGGACTTAATTTAATGAAGGCTGTACAGTGACCTATAGTTGTTAACTTCTATTTAGTTCAAAGCCAGAGTACCTAGACAAAACCAGACCAAAGACTCAGTATGGGCCTGGCTAGGGTAATGTTAAAAAAAAAGAGGCGAGAGATACAAATGGATAATCACACCCATAAGTCGAAAACAAACTTACAATGCCATTGGCAAAAACACAAAAAAGACAAACAACTTAAGATAAAACACAACATAGAAAACTAAAGACTGTGCAACACAAACACTATCAAAAACTGGGGGTGATCTCAGTTCTCCAGAAGGGTAAGCAGATACTGCTCCACATGTGTCACCCTGTTGCTCATTCAAGTACAAACCTGGTGATAAGTCTAATTTGGTAGGTCACATACAAGGAAAAAAAATTTGGATCGATAAAAAATTTCAAGTTTATAAGACTTCAATAAATTTCTAAGCTGGCAACTACAAAATAGTGAAATAGGATTTCATGATCAAAAGAAAGTTCACTCAGCCGTACAAACTCAATGAAGAAAATATATATGGTCTGTCATAAGTAAATTGATAAACGGTTTACGCATGTTAAGAATAACACCTAAAATATATCTACATACCATCCTTAGATATTTCTGAATCTGGGTCCTCCTTGAATTCTTCAGAACTATCATACTCTAAATGGTGTGGTGATGTCCCCTCTATTTGTTCTAAGCACCAGTTTAGTCTGTGAACATAACTGAAAAGAGAAATAAGAAATCAGCTTTCTCCGTTAACAGAGTCTTCATGGGAGACAATTTATTCAAATTCACTCAAAAGTTCATTCCTTAAAAATAACAAAATTATTCATAACTACCTTCCTAAGCAAATATCAACAATTTTGGAACTATAAGGAACTTCAATAAATGGGTTAGATTTTGATATCTATTTATCCATTACACTGAATACGCATAAAATCTTTGCCACTAGACAGTAAGCAAACAGTCAAAAAGTTGAACTGAGTAAGCCAAATGATGAACAGCAACCGAAAGCAGAGTGCAGATCATTTTTGGTTCATATTAGTTATGGGAGATAGCAAACATCTAAAACTATTCTAATTTTCAATTCTGAAGTCTACAATTCTATCCTTCACTGATGTTCCCAAATAATTTAGACTTACTCACCTTCTCCTACTCATAATTCTGGCATTGATTGTCTCCCCTTTTCCGTTTGGAATGGCCACTGTCTTGAAGCGCTGATTAAACTCTGGCTTACTTCTGGATAAAGTACCTTTTCCAAAAAATCCCTTAAAGTAAAGGTTCAAAACTTTTGAACAAAACTTGTACAATTTTTTAAAATATATTTTAGTGCATATATCAATTGCATGTTAACAGAAATGGAGATAATAGACTATTTTCATATTACCGACTTTTGGTTCCGGGTTATTTAATTTTTCAACATTTAGTTGTTTTCTTTTTATTTTAACACCATACATTGTAGTATGTGGCTGCGTTTTATTATCTTATTAGATAGTCCTGTGTAATATTTGTTTAATTTTATTTTATTTCCTTGTTCAAGTAACCATTTTTAAAGGTAATGTTATCTCCCTTAGTCATCTAAAATTATTTATTCATATCTTTCATACATTCTTCTATTCTTCATTCCAGAACTCATGACATCATTGTTCAAGTGGAGTGTTTAATTGTCTTTAATAGAACTTTGTCCTTACTATCCATAAAAGTATGATTTCATGGACAATGAAAATCTCATTTGTCCGTTACATGTACTTTTAAAATTACTACCAGTACCTATCATTTACAAGCCACCAGAGTACAATTTTTAAAAGCCTTGCACAATCATTTAACATCTGTGTGTAGTAGAGTTAATAATTCAGTTCTTAAGATAAGTTTATATGTCAATTAAACGGTATTAAAAAAGAAGGAACGAAAGATACCAGAGGGACAGTCAAACTCATAGATCGAAAACAAACTGACAACGCCATGGCCAAAAATAAAAAGACACACAGACAAATAATAGTATATATGACACAACATAGAAAACTAAAGACTAAGTAACACGAACCCCACCAAAAACTGGGGGTGATCTCAGGTGCTCCGGAAGGGTAAGCAGATCCTGCTCCACACATTAAAATGTGAATTCAGAAAAAAAATTCAGTCATCATTTACTTCACAAAACATGAGAATTGAAATTTCTGTGGTAGTAAAAAAAGTACTGGCATATTAAAGATATGTAACTTTTTGTAGAAGAATAATTGGAGAAATTGAAAACATTTAAAATTAAATTTAAATCCTACAAATAAACTTTTAAACATATTACTTACATTGTCAAGCATTAACAAATTTACTTGAACAATTATTGCTCCTGATTGTTAGAAGTATTTATACACTTTGTTAGTCAGTTGGTCAAGTTAAATTTTATAAAAGAGCTGTACATGATCAATTAAGGGAATTTTTAAATAAACTTATTTTATCATCTTCTTTCAGCATTTAGATCAGGTTTTGTTTGCCAAAATAATAGAAGACTGGAAAAAAGCTCTGGACGACAACAAATTTATTGTTGCAATTCTGATGGATCTATCTAAAGCATTTGATTGTTTACCTCACGATTCACTTCTACTAAAATTGGAAGAATATAGTCTGTTAAAAAATTCTCTAAAATTATTACAAAGTTATTTAGAAAGCAGAAAAACAATGTATTAAAATTGGAAGTTCTTACAGTGAATGGGATCGTATGTTTTAAGGTGTACCACAAGGGTCAATTTTTGGTCCAGTTCTTTTCAATGTCTTCATAAATGACATATTTCATTTTGTACAAAATAGCACCATTTATAATTATGCTGATGATAACACTGTATCATATAGTGATCATGATATAGATAAAGTTGTTAAAATTTTAGAAACTGATAGTTTAAATCTAATAATCTGGTTTTCGATAAATTTAATGAAGGCTAATCCTGACAAACTCCAGGCTATAGGTGTAATACCACCAAATCATAGTATGTCACATCCAGTTACATACAAAAAAGGGTTGAAAAAAATATTCCCTTGAATTTGACAGTTGTAGGAAATTAATCCTACATTTCATTGCAGTAAAAAATTTCTGAGTCATAAACATATATCTTTGGTGTTTCAAAGCACCATTATTTTTTTATTTGGTGTTTCTATAGAAAATTTGGAAACTTGAGGTTACATGGTTACTAAAGCTTGTACACAGGAAAATAAGGGGTGGATTTGATTGGTTAACTTCCAGTGATGGTTATTTTCTTATATGCAATGAAATGTTATGTGAAATTTTGTCTATAGTACTGGACAGGATAAAACTTTACTCATTCCAAGTATTTCTTTATTTGAAACAAAAATAAATTCTTCACATTTTTTTGAAAAGTGCAAATTTAACAAAGACTAATAGGGGAAATCAATGGTGGTATTACACCTATAGCCATTGAAAAAAAAACAAATAAACATAATTTCACATTCAATTTAAATGGAAACAAAATTTCTTGTGAAGAAACATTGTAAACTTCTTGGAATAATTATAGATTCTGACTTTAACTTTAACAATCACATATCTGAAATATGTAAAAGGCATCAAGACAATTAAATATTCTAAAACAAATGGGCAAATATTTAAACAGGCTAGGTAGATTAACACCATACTACTCATTCATTCTTTCAAATTTTTACTATTGTCCAGTAATTTGGCACTACTGTAGTGAAAAAAATTCTTTTAAAATGGAAACTAGAGGATCTCAAGAGCCTGTTTCGCTCACCTGTATTTACTGATGCTTTGGAAATCATGTAAAATAAGGTTAAAATCATAATTAATAGTATTAGATATTAGATATTACATGTATTATAATGATATAAGATAATAACAAAAAACTGCAAATTTTTGTAAAATTACTAACTCAGGGGCAGCAACCCAACAACGGGTTGTCGGATTCGTCTGAAAATTTCAGGGCAGATAAATCTAAATCTGATGAACATTTTTGCCACCTGTCAAATTTGCTCTAAATGCTTTAGTTTCAGAGATATAAACCAAAAACTACATTTTACCCCTATGTTCTTTTTTTAACCAAGTCGGCCATGATGGTTGGAAGGCGGGGTCATCGGACAAATTTTTTAAACTAGATACCCTAATAATGATTATGGACAAGTATGGTTAAATTTGTCTCAGTAGTTTCAGAGAAAAAGATTTTTGTAAAAGATTACAAAAATTTACAAAAAATTGTTAAAAATTGACTATTAAGGGCAATAACTCCTAAAGGGGTCGACTGACAATTTTGGTCATGACAACTTATTTGTAGATCTTACTTTGCTGAACATTATTGCTGTTTACAGTTTATCTCTATCTATAATAATATTCAAGATAATAACCAAAAACTGCAAAATTTCCTTAAAATTACCAATTCAGGGGCAGCAACCCAACAACAGGTTGTCAGATTTGTCTGAAAATTTCAGGGCAGATAGATCTTGACCTGATAATCAGTTTTACCCTGTGTCAGATTTACTCTAAATGCTTTGGTTTCAGAGATATAAGCCAAAATCTACATTTTACCTCTATGTTCTATTTTTAGCCATGGCGGCCATCTTGGTTGGTTGGCGGGGTCATCGGACACATTTTTTAAACTAGTTACCCTAATGATGATTGTGGCCAAGTTTGGTTAAATTTGGCTCAGTGGTTTCAGAGGAGAAGATTTTTGTTAAAAGCTAACGACGACGGACGACGACGACGACGACGACCGACGGACGCCAAGTGATGAGAAAAGCTCACTTGGCCCTTCAGGCCAGGTGAGCTAAAAATTCAAGAAAGAGATCTTAGATTCATCTATGAAGATTATGATGGTTCATACGAAAAACTGCTAGAAAAGTCAAAATTACCTTCTTTAAAAATAAGAAGAATAAAAACTATTGCAACAGAAACTTTTAAAAAAATTTAAAAAAAAAGTCCAAGCTATTTTCATGATTTAATTGATATAAAAATTCATCAGCACAATTTAAGATCACAGGAAACAGCTGTACTCCGAGAGTCAGAACTACCAGGTATGGTTTAAGATTGTTTCGCTATAATGCTGCACAAATCTGGCAAGAGCTGCCTAACCATTGTCGAACGGAATCATCTTTTGACCAATTCAAAAAATTGGTAGAGACATGGGATCCATATAACAGCTCATGCCAGTGCAGTGCATGCATATAGTATTTTTATGCCTGTGCTTTTTTATTTTTTGTGTGACTATTTGATTTGTTTAGCTTTTTTAGTTGCTATTATCTGCTAATCATTCTAACGTATGCTATGTTTTAAGATATACTTTATTTTGCATACTATACTTTTAACTTTTATATGTCATCAATGGTATCTTACTGGTGCAGGATTTTCTCGCTGTGTTGCAGACCCATTAGTGGCCATCGGCTGTTTTCTGCTCTTTGGGCGGGTTGTTGTCTCTCTGACACATTCCCCATTTCCATTTTCAATTTTATATTGTATGTTTAAAATTGTGTTCTTTTCATGACTTTTGTAGTAAATACAGGTAAATTGTATGTGTAATACAATTGATGACAGTAGTGTTGTATCAGCCATCTGTGATGATATCGATATCAGCCACGGTTGCAAAGGCTTTATCAAACCCCTTATATGTATGATGTCACGTAATCGGTATCAGTCATGGTTACAAAAGCTTTATCAAACCCCTAATCTGTATGATGTCACGTAATCGGTATCAGTCACAGTTACAAAGGCTTTATCAAACCCCTAATATGTATGATGTCACGTAATCGGTATCAGTCACGGTTACAAAGGCTTTATCAAACCCCTAATCTGTATGATGACACGTAATCGGTATCAGTCACAGTTACAAAGGCTTTATCAAACCCCTAATATGTATGATGTCACGTAATCGGTATCAGTCATGGTTACAAAGGCTTTATCAAACCCCTAATCTGTATGATGTCACGTAATCGGTAACAGTCACGGTTACAAAGGCTTTATCAAACCCCTAATATGTATGATGTCATGTTATCGGTATCAGTCACGGTTACAAAGGCTTTATCAAACCCCTAATCTGTATGATGACACGTAATCGGTATCAGTCACAGTTACAAAGGCTTTATCAAACCCCTAATATGTATGATGTCACGTAATCGGTATCAGTCACGGTTACAAAGGCTTTATCAAACCCCTAATCTGTATGATGTCACGTAATCGGTATCAGTCACGGTTACAAAGGCTTTATCAAACCCCTTATATGTATGATGTCACGTAATCGGTATCAGTCATGGTTACAAAGGCTTTATCAAACCCCTAATCTGTATGATGACACGTAATCGGTATCAGTCACAGTTACAAATGCTTTATCAAACCCCTAATATGTATGATGTCACGTAATCGGTATCAGTCATGGTAGTACGTAATCGGTATCAGTCATGGTTACAATGGCTTTATCAAACCCCTTATCTGTATGATGTCACGTAATCGGTATCAGTCACGGTTACAAAGGCTTTATCAAAACCCTAATCTGTATGATGTCACGTAATCGGTATCAGTCAGGGTTACAAAGGCTTTATCAAACCCCCAATCTGTATGATGTCACGTAATCGGTATCAGTCAGGGTTACAAAAGCTTTATCAAACCCCTAATCTGTATGATGTCACGTAATCGGTATCAGTCAGGGTTACAAAAGCTTTATCAAACCCCTAATCTGTATGATGTCACGTAATCGGTATCAGTCATGGTTACAAAGGCTTTATCAAAACCCTAATCTGTATGATGTCACGTAATCGGTATCAGTCACGGTTACAAAGGCTTTATCAAAACCCTAATCTGTATGATGTCAGGTAATCGGTATCAGTCAGGGTTACAAAAGCTTTATCAAACCCCTAATCTGTATGATGTCAAGTAATCGGTATCAGTCAGGGTTACAAAAGCTTTATCAAACCCTAATATGTATTATGTCATGTCTTGTGAAAAACATCTAAGAGAGATCATTTGTACTTGTGGTACATGTATATGATAAAATGTATGTGGTATGGCTTTTTCAATATCACTCACTGTATCAACCCTCAACCAATACAATCCCTCGAGCAGAGCTCTTGAGATTATATTGGTGTCTCAGGTTGATACAGGTGTGATATTGAAAAAGCCATATGATACCATATAGCAGGTTATTTTCGCGGGTGTAAAATTTCGCGATTTAGGGGCAACAAAGTATACGAAAAATTTTGGCGGTTTTTATTTTGGTGGATTCTTAAATCCAAATTAAATATTTTGGTGGATACTGAAATTGTTGCAGTTAAAAAGCTGGAATGACCTCTTATTTATTGATTAGATTCTGATACAGTTAATCATTTAATTTAGAATACCGCTCATTTAGATATTTGTTACAAGTATTCAAACGTCTTGTAAATTTTACGATTGACTATTTAAGAAATTAACCAGACCTTTGATGTACTAATTAGGTTACAAAATTATCATGAATGTTTAAAACTCTTATATGGCTTCACACTAATTAATAAGGGTAATTACCTGATAAGAGTACCTTGCACTCTTATTCTAATTGACACTTATTTATAAAGTATACACACCTGACAGTCATTTTATAAAATACATTTATGTACAATGCCCTTTGGTATTTATCTTGTTAAAACTAACATACTTTTATTGACCTGCCGACATGAAAAATAGATTGTTTACAAAATCCTTTAGCCATGTTAACTTCGAAAAATCCTTTAACCATGTTAACTTTGAAACTACCCAACGTATGCATAAATTTTCGCCGAATTTATTTTCGCGATTTTCATTATCCGCCAAAATAAGTGAAAATTAACACCCCCCGAAAATGAGTGTTTATATGAATTATAAAAATTAGGCTGTAAGTTTTCTCATTTGAATTGTTTCACATTTGTCATGTTGGAGCCTTTAATAGCGGTCAATAGGGTATGGGTTTGTCTCAGTTGATGGCTGTGCACTTGTAGGATTAAATATTGTCCGCCATGAAATTATGTCCACCAGACACTTTTTCACAGTAAATTGTGTCCACGGACATAATGTTATTATGAAATATAGCCCGGACGATATTTACCTATGAAATCATGTCCACTGATGTGAAAAAGTGTCCTTCAAAGAAAGGACAGTATTTCATGTGAAAAAGTGTCCACTCTCAATACCAACAAAATGTATACATAGCTTCAGTTCTTTATCTAAATTGAAGTTTTAAAATTGGCATAAATTTTTTTTCTCTATTTAAACATGGCATGTATACTGGAGTATTGAATTCATACAAAATGTGATCATCACCATGTGTAGTTATACATATAAAACATGGACTATGCACATAAAAACAGTAATACATTTAATAGAATGTAATATAAACTGTGTGAATAATAATATATGTAATTCATTTCACAAAACAAAATGTTTTAATTTACAAAATCATGTAATATTTATGAATAGTACTCCTAAATACTGTTCTTTCTACATTTGGCCTTTCTTGTACTTTTAACAGGGGTTGTGACAGGAATATGTGCCTGTAGAACATCTTTATAACTAAGATAATTGAAAATGCTTTGGTATTCAACACCATCCAATTTTGTTTATATCAAAATATAACTGGTTCTTTATTGGTTTGTTTTGGTAATAGAAAATTAAATATAGCTTAAACATTTCATGGACTTTTTTATTATCTCCCTTTAAAGGACAACTTTTACTGTGAAAAGGTGTCCTCTTATTGAAAACTAGTCCAAATAATTATGATGTCTAAAAGGCTATTTTATTTTTTTGCTTAGACAACTTACTTCGCAGTAAGGCGTCAAAGCAAAAAAATAAAATAGCACTTCAAGAAGTCATAATTATTTGGACTAATTGAAAACCAACCTTTACAGGACAGAATTTATTAGTATTTTATCATGAAATTATGTTCGATTGAATGGACACTTTTTCACAGCTTCGAACACATTTAAATATACCTTTTCTAAGAAAAAGTGTCCGGGTGGACACTTTTTCACAGGACATTTTTATGGCTCACACAGTGGCCAATAATTGCTTATATCCACTTCAAATGAACTCTGGTGAATAGTTGTCATATTTGCAATCATACCACATCTCCTTATTTGAATATCACCATCTTTCAGGGACCTTTCAGGGAAAACAAATCTTGTACAATGTAAAGCACCTTGAAAACACAATAAGTGTAAAACTTATATTGAAAATCTTACCATTTTGTACAGTCTGTCAATGTCTCCACTATGTTTGATTTCTATGTGGTTGCCATGAAGATAGCCTGTATAATAGAACCATGTGTTTTCATACTGTTCTGTTGCTATAGGAACAGGAAATGGTGACTCTTTGACTGCATGTACTCTTTTCTTCTTTTTTGGATTAACCAGCTTAGAAAATGCCATACCAACAAAAAGAAAGCTTCACCTGAATAGAAAGAAATAGTAGCTATGCATGTAAAATCATTTTTTGTCTTTTTTTCAGTATATTTTACATTTATATCATGAAACTACAGAAAACATTGCAACTTGTGTTCAGATGATAAATTAATATAAAATCGAAGGAAACACTTTCATTTGACCAACCCCTACCTGGTGAATTGAAAATACACAGGATAGCAGAGATGCAGATTTTTTTTTTTTCATGTCCGACATTGTGTCTTGCATGTATAAAGACTTTAGCTAGTCCTATCAACTGTTTGCCAGACCTACTTTTAAAAAAAAAAAAATAGTTCCCAGTTGGATTAAGATACGCCTTAAAGCCTTGACACAGACAATGACTAGAACAACCAGATTAAGGACATAACCATGGGGTGGTTGTAATGACTGAGACTACATTCAATTTAAATTATCCACCAGCACCAAATACATACTTCATATTATGATAATGATTTTATTCTTCTGTGGAGCATTGTGAAAGCAATAATTTAATCATGTTAATCATTGAAAAAATGTTTATTGCACTGACAATTTTTGTAAATGGTCCTTTTCGACCATAGAAATACATACATGTGATGGACTGTGAAACTCAGATCAAGAGATTGGGAATTTTTGGTCAGGAGATTAGGACTCAGATCAGGAGGTTTTTTATCGACATAAATTTTGTCGTAAATGTAACCGTGTAATGTACTAAATTGTCTTTTAAAGTGTTATTTCTTCAACTTTCAATCCAAAGGTAATATGTTTATAGTACCCTTGTACTATTAAATTTTCTTTTTCTTTATTCAACCTCTCATTCTTTTTTTTTTTGGGGGGGGGGGGGGGGGGGGGATTTTTTAATTTCATTTCTTTATTTTTGTTTGATATTTATTTAATAAAACATTCACTGCAAAAAGATTATTTTTTTATATCTTGATAATTTGCAAATAGATTATTTTTTTTTTATCTTGATAATTTGCAAATAGATTATTCTTTCATGCAAATGAAACAATGAAAAATTTCAGTAGAGGTTATACTTATTATATAAATTTCAGTTTAAGCCTTGAAAAGAAGTATAGAACCCTCTAATAATTTCCAAATTATTATTTTTTTTATTTGTCCTAAGACATTTAAAATCATTTAATTATCATCCTTTTATGATTATTTGTTCAATTTATATTTCATTTATATTCTTTTAACAATTTACATTATTTAAAGGAAAATAATTTGAACAGCATAAAACAAGGGAAGTAACCCAAAATTTATATCAATTATTTTAAAATACACAAAGTTTTTATTACACAACTGCAGTTAGCCTGAGGTAAAAATTGTTGATTACCAGTATGTTTGACACCCAAGCTGGCAAGTGAAGCCATATAATGACGCATGTTCTTTGATTTACAGGTAAAATTTAACTTCAGGTAATGTCAGTTACACCGGATATGGCGGCTGAAAGTTTTCATTCATGAAATATTTCATACACAGGATTTTTTTCTCTTCAACGGGAGGATGGGAGGAGACCCCTGAAAATGGGATTATTGTACTCCCGTTAGGAGGTTCACATGTATGGAAATATTTTTCAGGAACGTTTTTCCAGCAAAAGGATTATTGTACATGTTGTAGGTAGGTTTCACCGTGACCAAGACCCTGGGCTTTATCTAGTTTATTCAACCATGTGTAGTCAAATACCAGTCGATTTACATGCAACAGTGTGCCCTTTTCTCATTGTCAAATCTAATTCAATGTCAAAAGAGATCTATGTGAAGGTGTTTTAGTTGGATTTTGTTCGGCATTATGCAGGTATAAGACAACCAAGAACAACTCTTCATCACTTGTTGTTGAAACAACTATCGGGTCACCGTCTTGTATATTGTCAATCCTCATGTTTGTCATCAGGTAACATTGCAGATTTTCTTTCAAATGTTTTCTTTACCTAGCATTTTTTTTAGCAATCATATTCATAGAACCCTATAAAATTCATAGAATAAATATGAACATAGCCCCCTCCCCCTTTTATTATTAAACAATATTTGTTTGTAATATGTACTAATAATCATAATTATATTGAATAATATGTGTCTATTACTTGATTGATATGCTTGTAATGATTTAGAACGCTTTCTTTAGCCATATGATCATCAAACCAAACTTCTCATTGCACATGTAGAGGTTAAAATTCAGAACGGAAGTAAGCATAGTCACGTGATCTATGGATTAATTTAGGTCAGGTAAGAACACAGGTTGTTGGCTACTTATCAACATTTTATTGACATATTTACATAGTCAAAGTGTTTAACAGATTATCGATTACAATCAATATTATCTTATGTTAGTAAATGGCGGGTAGTTTGATTTGAAAGCGAGTACAAAGTAGAGAAACTGACCAAAAATGTATGGTTGACCTCACCTTCGTCTTTGTTGATTTCCACACAACTTCAAAAATCTAGAAGCTATGACTACTATTGTGTATTGTTTGATGCAAATGTCAGCGTGTTGAAGAGACATTTAAAAACTCAAAAAAAAAACTGAGAGTACTTTATATTAGTAGGGTGTTGTCTCAAGAAATTAATCGATTTAAAAAAAATGAATAAAAGATATTTAAACTACATGGAACTCTTCTTAGTCTTAGTCTCTACCGAACTACTGTATCTGCATGTGTATCACAAGTCCATTGTAGTCTGTCAATATTGAGGTTACAGTTCTGCCAACTTTTAATAATGCAAATGCGTGAGATTTGGCCAAAATCGTAAAGATCAAAGAGAAAAAACAATAGATCAAAGGAAAATGCCGCCCAAATAAGCGTGAAAATGCGTGAGTCTCACGCTAAATGCATGATTCTTGGCAGCCCTGAGGTTATGAATTGACTCCAATTTTGATTGACTATAGCTAGGATCTATAGTCATTTTTCCTACCTAAGTCCCTGCACTCTGGCTTTCTCCACTGATGAAAACTTACAGCAACAAAATAGCAAAATAGTGCTTAAAGAGGTGTAAAACACAAATCAATCAATCAAATTGATTACAGTTGAATATGAAAATACCTGTAGGTGATAATTGGATCTGACATAGTCTAAATAATTATGACATTTTGAGAGGCTATTTTAATTTTTTGCTGCGAGGCCCTTCTACACATGTACGACATCATAATGTTAACGCTATTTTTTCGGATGGACTTAAAAAAGAGAAAATGGTGTTCTCAATTTTACAATGAAATCATCACTTCTAGAAATATTGGAATATTTAAAAATTCTTACCTCTTGTGTGCTTGTTGGTGCAAAATATTTCCAGAAATATCCAAAAGTAATGATAAAACAAGTTAGGATTCCATTTGAGAGGACAATGGCCTACTTCTTTTTTCAAATGGTTACCCAGATTTTCCAAGTTCCTTCACTTAGGGAGAGTATAAATTAAATTTACAAACCGAACTCCGTAAAAAATTTTGGACCAAAATTTCATTCAAACCTTTGGATTTATATTATACGGGAATTGAGGTTCGTCAAATTTAATGGAGTTCAGCTTGTAGATTTATTTTTAGGATACTAAAAGTTAATGGACAAAATGATGGAGAGAATCTTTGAAAAGAAAAATGTTCAACAAAATGTCATCTGCAAAATTTAATAAGTCAACATGGACGAATTGTCAATTGACTCCTTATGAGTTATAGGAGTTATTGCCCTTGAAAGACTAATTCTACTAATTTTTTGCAGAAACTATAATATATACTAAGAAAGTAACAATATCTAACAAATATGTTTAGCAAAATAAGATTTATAAGTAAGTAAACATGCTACCCCTGAGAGGAGTTATTGCCCTTGAAAGATGATTTTTGTTTCCCATCTATGAAGTTTGCACAAGTAAACTCTAATAGATAGAGACAAACACTAAAAAAGTAAAAAATCTTCTGTGCAATGTAAGATAGATCTACAAATCAGTCATCACGACTGAAATTGTCAACTGACTCCTCATAGAAGTTTTTTCGCCTGAATGATGATTTGTATCCATTTTTGTCAGAAACTATAGGAGTTAGAGAAAAACTTTAAAAAATTAAAAAAAATTAAGATAAATAAGATCTACAAGTAAGTCAACATGGCCAAATTTTCACGCTAGAGGGTTTATTGCTATAAATGATCTAAACTTTCATAATTATAAACTGTAATCGGTAAAAATGTTTATCAATACAAAACCAACTAAAATGCCACTAAATAAGATCTACCAATAAGCAAACAATTACAATGAAAGAAAAATATATATATATCGAAATGGCATATTTTCACCAGGTGATCTATTATATGAAAGTCTGGATAGGGTTTACAGAATAGAATAAAATGGGCAAAAAAAATTAAAGAATTGAGAGAAAAAAAAGGGCAGAAAAATAAGAATAGAGAATAATGGGGTGCTAAAATAGAAAGAATAGAGAATAATGGGGTGCTTAAATAAAAAGAATAGAGAATAATGGGCAAACACTATAAAGAATAGAGAAAAATGACCTAAAAATATGGAGAATACAGAAAAGTAGACCCATCCAGACCCAATTATATGTATGCTTTCACTTCTCATATATTCAGCTTGAAGACTTTGAAGTCTCAGTTATGTCTCTTTTCTTAAACAATTAGAACAATTTAAATTGACGTAATGATGACAATTTTTTTTTAAGTGCACAAAAAGGTCATAACACAGAGGCACCAAGTATTTGGCAATCAGTCAATTAGTAATTATATCTATTTAAGTGTCATATTGAAAGGTCAAAGGTTAAAGAGAAGTTCATTCATAAAATCTGTCAAATTTTGCATTATAGACATGATAGTTGATTAAAGCCTGCTTTTGGATGAACGACTTGTCAATTTTTTGGCCTCTTTAGAAAAGTTCTTATGATTTTGAAATTTGATATTTTAGTGGGTGTAATAGCATTTAAAATTGTTTAAATATGTTCCTCTCTTTGTTGCAACAATTCCGACAGATACATTTGAATTAGACTTATTGAAAATTAACCAGATTTTATTTGCTTTGTAATTTAATATGATAGCACAGTTATATTGTACAAATATAGTTTAAAAGAATATCACATGACCTTTCTGTGGATTTATAAATTTAAAATCCTTTTTTATATACTAAAATTGCAGGTAAGAAAATTATAATAAAGAAAAGATGATACCATTAGATGATCTAGTAATTTAATTACATCAATAACCATGATAACATTGACTTCAATTGATGAGCTGCATTTTATAAATTTGTAAATTTATTCAAATTAAAATTGTTGGGTTTTGCAACTTCTGAAATAAAGTTGACCGTTGATGGTTTTCATAATTTTTTTCGGTTACTAACTTACTAATGGCTCTCTCCATATTTATCAATCTTGGTTCCTTCTGACAAATATGTCATGTATGTGTTTTACTTTGTTTTCCAATTATTATTTTAACTTCCATTTGTTTTTGAGTCAAGGAACCAATTTGAAAACTTTTAGCGAGTTTCATCTTTGAAACAATTTTCAATGCCATTATCATAAAGTAAAACAATTATTTTATTGTTATTTGTCACGTAGTATTTTTTGTGCTGTATTTCCCAGCTTAGAATCTTAATAACATGAAGGATAGGCATCTGCATCTAATTTGATATACATACATATATATTACGAATTACAAATGTGTCCAGTTTTGTGATTGGATAACAACACAGAGATGTCATTATATATTCAGGAAACTGCCAGGGTATATACAACGTTTTTTACCCCAATTGGAACCTCACTACTTCATCATCATGGACGTACAATGTAACTACATGTATGTGACGTTATCTTAAGCTACATTTATCCCCGGCTTAGTATATTTCTAGGATTTTGATTGGTTAACGCACGTCGTTACAAAACCCATAGCCCCTGGGTGTTGCTAACCCATATCCCCGGACGTTGCTACCCATTACATCGGGGAATTTCACGCGCGTTTTCCTTAGTTCCATGGTTGTTCCTTATGAAATATCGAATTCTGTAGATTTTCCATGATGTCTGTATAATTAAATACTTAATCCACTAACGATTTTATCTTATTATATCGATTATTTGCACTCATTTTAGTAAATGCATCACTATGCAGCCACATTGTCAATGAATGGAAGTACTGACCTAGCTATGCAAATGACCCACGTTGACGTCACACCGTTTATGATGTAACTCTCACAACATTGCGCGCCAAATTCGACCCATTTCAGTTTCTCTGTCTCTAGTTTAAAAACGTCTTATATTTGTCTACATGTAGGGTTCTACCAAAGGTAGTACCCTACACCCCGTTAAAAAAATGGCAAATTCCGAAATTTCAATAAAAGATATTTAAAAAATGAAAAAAACGTTGCTTTCACGTTAAACTTTGTGGTCGAATTTCTCTAAAAATCGCCAGATTTAGACTAAGACCGGGGATAAATTCGTTATCTACGTTCATATCCGTAGATATGGATATGAACGTAGATAACTTATAGTATACAGAGCACTTAAAGAACGTAAGAGGATCACAGAGGGAAAATAATGACATGTATCTGTCAATAATACGTTTTTAATTTAAAATCACACGATTTACACATCAAATACTTAATTAATGTCCTAAATTGTTATTACAAATTATTGCATACACGATAGAATTTTTTTCACAGCAAAATAAAAAATCCTTTGTGTATGCGGAAAATATATGTACTGCATGGTGAATGTTTGACAACTATGTGGTACTGGAAAAAAACATTAAGGCAGGGGTAATCCGTAATATATATGTGTAATTCAGGTTTCAGACAGGGTATATAATGTGACATTCCCTGTCTGAGACCTGAATAACATATAACATGTATGAACAAGGAGATGTTTTATGATTGCTACAAGAGACCAAAGGATGAGAATTTAAACAACTAAACGCTATACAGCCTTCAACAATGAGCAACACAATAGAACCCATTCCATATAGTAAGCTATAAAAGTCCCTGGCATGTCAAAATGTAAAACAATTCATAGAGAAAACCAACACCTAGATTTGTGCTAAAAACGTGGTAATGTTTACCTGTAAAATTTAGATCTTGCAGTATCTTATAGTAATAACAAATTTCTATTACAGGTACCGTAGAGAATCTCTGGAGGATGGGAGAATGGTGCCTGCTTTCATCCCAACGTGTGTTTACTTGTAACAATCATACAGAGAAACAGCTGGGTCCAATACTGTTCATCTTGCATTGACTCGTCACAGTGTTCAGATGAAGAACTACAATAATAATTTTGCAATATTATATGGAACAGATCAAACACATGTTCCATGATCATTTGTATGAACACATTATCCAATCGGAATCAATGATAGTCTTGTTAGTATGGAAACGAAGCACAAAGATTAATATTCTTGGATACTCAAATTATCTCTAGATACACTCTATGAAATGCCAGTTTTTAAAGATTTTATGGTGTTGATGACAATTTTTTAGTAAAAGTAATTCTTCTAAACATGTTAAAGCTTTAATGTATTGTTTCATATTGTTGTGTCTTTGAATTTTCACTTCAATGCTTTCCAAAATGGTGTTCCGAGAGGCAGCATTATTATTACTTTTAATAGTAGATATTTCATCTGGTCAGACTTGTTACAAAAATACAACATCCTATACTTGCGAGTCGCTTGGAAATACAACTTCATGTCTTGGTGCTACCTTAACCTTCACTCAAACATCGCTGGAATTTGCAGATTCTTCAACATTAAGTTCAGTAAATGAGAAATTAAAACTGTGGGAAGGTTTAAAATATGTTCCTGAATGCTGGTCATTGGTGCAACCCTTTCTTTGTTCAGTGTATTTACCTAAATGTGAAGTCGGGAAGGTAGAGTTGCCCAGTAAAGAATTATGTAAGAAGATAAAATCACCATGTAAAATTGTTGAAATTTACCATGGAGCCTGGCCTGATTTCTTAGACTGTGATGAAAGTCATTTTGTGACAGGTTGTCCGGTAAGTTTATATGTTGTATGTCATGTACATTGTATGTATAGAAATCTTTTACATTTAAGCAATAACTTCTTGCATGGCAAGGCTTTTTGTAGTTGTTTTTTTTTTTAGATTTTAGCATTGTTTGTCCATATTTTTGCACAAATTTTACTGTGTGGTGAGCTTAGAAAAGCATGGGATTCTGTTTCCAAAAAATATTAGAAAATAAATCAAAGAATTGTGTGATGAATTATAATACATGTTGTAATACATGTAGTAAAATGTTATTGCACAAAAATCACCTAAATTAATGAGGTACTAAATCATACCATTTCTAAATTTATGATGTTTTATGTTTAAACATGGAAGTATTATATTGACAGGAACTCCAACAAGCGGACTTCAAACGTTTATAGTGCGATGCCGCAAAATCGTTAAGTATTTGTTAATTTACTCGACATGTCATATGGATGCATGGGTTCCGATCAAATTTTTGGAACCTCGTGATTGATCGTAATTACAGAACATACCGAAATAACAGGATGTGTACTTAATTGTCAAGGAAACGACATTAACCGGCCATGTCAGTTTTTCCGGTTTTGCTGCGTAAAAACAAATACAAAGAAACGAAATCCCCGTGACTGTTTTCACAACAACAACAAAAAAACAACAAAAAAACCAAATTTCTTTAAATGCCGATCCAGAATTAATAAATGCCATTCGTAAAAAAAATCTGTCAGACGTCAGAGTAATCTCGGACTAGGTTGAATGTTTAAGGTTTGTTTACAACTTTGGACTTTTTATAAAAGGTGTAACAATTTATCTGTCTCGTAACCTGATATTGCTATGTAGATGTCATCACGTGCGTGTAATTATAAAGCTCTTTTAGTCTTTAAAACATATTTGTTTAATACGTACGTTAATAACATTTTTCAAATTGAGACGATAGAGAAAACAATAAATTTTTTTGTAACATTCGATAAAAATTAACAACCTTAAAACTTAAATTTAAGCTATCCGGCAGCATCCGGCACACTACACGTGCATCACATTGTTTTCCGCAAACACCCGACTTTAAGTACATGTAATTTTTGATATCGGATATTTCCCGATTTCCAAGTTTCAATGATTAAAACATATTAAACAAAACTAAAAATAAGCTTGCCCTCTTTCAGAATGCAGTTAATTTTCTTATGTCATTCTGTTAAATATGGACCGATTTTTTCGATCTTTCCAGCTTTTGTCTTTATTTATTGAACGGAAACAGGTGTCGTTATTACTTTGGCGATTCGCAAATAATCACGGGAGTTTCCGTGTTTATTTACATTGGTAGGTAGATAAGACACTCGATACCAAATCACGTGATAAGACCAGCTTCAGTTAACAGAACAGGCGAAGGCGGCATCGCAGATACCCCACAAAGGAGTTATCACGTACTTGACAAACTGAGTCGGAACCTTTTATTTTCTTCAAGAAATCAGTGGGATGGGAATGTGCTAATTTTTCGTTGGAGTTCCTGTCAATATAATACTTCCATGGTTTAAACAAGTGACTACACCATTCATGCCATTATCTGCTGTCATTGTTTACTGAATAAAAATGTATATAAAAATGGAAAATATATCAAAATAATTCATTATGATTTGCATATCTGCAAATACTTAAATGTGATTGGTTTGTTAAAATTTTTATGCCCCCGCCGTAGCAGAGGGGGCATTAAGTTTTACCCTTGTACGTATGTATGTATGTACATCCCAAAATTGGTTTCCATTCTCTAACTTGAATTTGCCTCAACCAAATGTTATGAAACTTATACACAATGCTAATTATCACAAAACACAGATCAAGTTCGAATTTTGGTGACGTCACTTTGACCGTTCTAGAGTTATGCCCCTTTATAAATGGAAAAATTGCAACATTTTTAGGTTCCATTCTCTAACTTAAGTTTGCCTCAACCAAATGTTATGAAACTTATACACAATGCTTATTACCACCAAATACAGATCAAGTTTGAATTTTGGTAGGATCACTCTAACCATTCTAGAGTAATGCCCCTTTATAAATGGAAAAATTAAAAAAATTTTAGTTTCCGTTCTCTAACTTAAGTTTGCCTCAACCAAATGTTATGAAACTTATACACAATGCTTATTAATACCAAATACAGATCAAGTTTGAATTTTGGTAGGGTCACTCTAACCGTTCTAGAGTTATGCTCCTTTATAAATGGAAAAATTTTTAAAAATTTAGTTTCCGTTCTCTAACTTAAGTTTGCCTCAACCAAATGTTATGAAACTTATACACAATGCTTATTACCACAAAACACAGATCAATTTAGAATTTTGGTGGCGTCACTTTAACCGTTCTAGAGTTATGCCCCTTTATAAATGGAAAAATTGCAAAATTTTTAGTTTCTTCTAAATATCAAGTAATTTTAAAAATTGGAGTTATCTTCCTTTGTCCATGATTATAGTTGAATCAACTACAATCAATGCTTTATACAATGCAATGTTTAATTTTGACTTCCACTGATAAAACACAGATCAAGTTGAATTTGGGTAGTGTCACTTTAACCATTATTGATAACCTTTATAAATCGAAAGATTGCAAAATTTTTAGTTTCCATTCTGTAATTTAAGTTTGCCCCAACCAAACATTATGAAACCTATACACAATATTCATTACCACAAAACTAAGATCAAGTAAAAATTTTTTGTTTCCGTTTTCTAACTTTAGTTTGCCTCAACCAAATGTTATGAAACTTATACACAATGTTTATTACTACATAATACAGATTAAGTACGAAATTTGGTGGCGACACTTTTACCATTCTTGAGTTATGTCCCTTTATAAACATAAAAATTGCTGAATTTTTCGTTTTTGTTCTTTAACTTAAGTTTGTCTGAACCAAATGTTATAAAACTTATACACAACCGTTCTAGAGTTATGCGTGTTTACAAATAGAAAAATTGCTGAATTTTTAGTTTCTGTTCTCTACTTAAGTTAGCCTCAACCAAATGTTATGAGACTTACACACAATGCTTATTACCACAAAACTCAGATCAAGTTCAAATTTGGGTAGCGTCACTTTTACTGTTCTTCAGTTATTTCCCTTTATAACTATATGATATGCAAGCCGGGGCATCATCTGTGTCCACATGTGGACACTATCCACATTTATTTTTTTTTTTTTTACATTTCCATAGACCATGTTGCAGAAACTACTTTCGTAACCTATACAAACGCTACATGCTGCGATGATGCATGTCAATATCACAGATATTCATGCCTGCATATGCATGGGAAAAAAAATCAAATATGATTATAATACATTTTTTGTTGTGGAAAAATGAAATATTAATATTCAGAATTATTTAAAAATTTGAAATTGATTGTGAAACACTAAAATTAAAACCTGTGTATCATTTTCTTATTATAAAATGTAATCAGTCACACATTCAGTAGCTAAGAACTTTTCAAAACACACCTGTCAAACCTATCCTATCTTACTGAACATTTATTTCATAAACCATGTGGTTATAATTTTGCCATCAGCTGAATTTTTACATTGTATTACATTCATTGTACACTTGTATATTGAAGAATTCAAAGTATAGGAAAGAACAAAATCACACATGGTTTTAATAAATTCTGAGTAACTTTTGATGTAACATGTTTAATTTATACTTAGTGTTTTGATTATAAGCATAGTTTAAAGGTTGAGAAAATTCTTAACACAAAGAAAAAATGGAAAAGTCCTTGTAAAGTATCATTATGTTTTCAAGTGCATTTTAAAATGTCTTTTTCCAAAGATTTAAATGCCAGTTACAATGTTTGGGAAGATGACTCATATTTTTACAATGGTGTGTTTGGTTCAGCGCTTCATATACACATTATAGTAACATGGCTATTTTTAAATACAATAATGCCAGTATTTTGTGATCTTAAAAGACATTTAAATAAAAAATTTATAATAGGTAAAATATTATATTTGAAATTTACCTGTAAATATAGATTCAGATTGAAAAGATATTAATGAAAATTGAATTTTTATCACACTCACAACAGAAACCAAAATTTGCATAAATAAAGTTCTCTTTTTGTGAAGGTCTATTATTTAGCAGTATCAACTACATGTAGTAAATCTTTGAAAGTCTCTTATAAATTTTATTTTTACAACTTTTTAGATTAAAATTTAGAGCTTGATACATCTATTTATATTTTATGAACCATTGCTTTTACTTGAGGACTGCATGAGGGTCTGGATGGGGTATACTAAATAGAGAATAATGAACACAAAGTGCAGAGTAAAGGGCATAAAGAATAGAGAAAAATAGGCCAAAAAAATAAATGACACAGAAAAATAGGCCAAAAAAAATAATAATAGAGAAAAATAGGCAAAAAAAATAAAGAATAGAGAAAAATAGGCAAAAATGATAAAGAATAGAGAATAACGGGGTGCTAAATTATATAGAATAGAGAATATTTTGCAAAATTAATCAAGAAAAAGAGAAAATTGGTCTAGAAAATTAAAGATAGAAAATGTAGGAACCCCTGCCCCAATCCACACCCTCAGGTATATTGACCTTTAGATGTCTATATATATATAGCTAGATGTTAATAATACATAAAAAGGATAATGGTCTAAGGAATTACCAAAAATTTATAATAGACTTCACCAACATTCAACACCCAACTCCTTCCAAATAAAAAGATAAACAACGCATTGTCAAGATAGACTGACTTGGTACAATATAAAAATGAGAAGATGTGGTACGATTGCCAATGAGACAACTCGCCACCAGAGACCAAATGATGTAATAATAATAATAATAATAAATTCTTTATTTAAAGAGGGTAAACTCAGTTAGTTACAATAAACTAATCTTCCCTGAGGCCCTCACATACAAATTACAATACAATCAAAAAACAGATATTTACACATAGTTAATTTACAGTCAATTAGTTCAATGTAATATTACTAACATGATAAGATATAAGGCTGTTCATGCTGTTCAAGATGTACATGTAGTCAAAAAATCAAATACAAATATAAATAAAAGAATATACAAATACATTGTAGAAAACATAATCTTATCAGGACTGTGTTAAGTACTTCTTGATACTTTGTTTAAAAGTATAAGTGTTTTGAGCTTTACACATTTTGTTTGGTAGTCCATTCCATAACACTGATCCAGAATAAACAAAAGATTTCTTAAATAGCTCAGCTTTTGGCTTAGGAACTATCAGATTACCTTGAGTGACGCCTCTCAGGGAGTAAGGATTATTATCTGATTTCAGTTTAAACTTTTGAACTAGGTACATTGGTGCTTCCATACGCATACATTTATATAGAAGTAAATATTTGTGGTATTTTATTCTATTGTCAACTGTCATCCACCCAAGTTCTTTAAATAAGGGGGCTGAGGGGGATAAAGGAACTGCATCTAGAATTAATCTTGCTGCCCTTTTTTGGAGTTTTAAAATTCTTGCTATCCCTTCATTTTTACATTCACCCCAAATAATACAGCAGTAGTCAATCAGGGGCAGAATATACCCATTGTAATATGTTTTCCTTGCATTTATGTCTAAAAATTTCTTTATTTTAGAAAGGAGGTATATTCTGGATGATATATTAGCACAAACTTGGTCAATTTGATTTCTCCAGTTAAGTGTGCTGTCAATTTTAACACCTAATAATTTTTCACATGAAGAATTTTGTAATACTTTTGAATCTATTATTAAGTTTGGTTGATAAGTCTGAATTGATAGTTTCTGCTTTGTTCCAGTAACCAAACATTTTGTTTTATTTGCATTAATGAACATGTTATTCATTTTGCACCACTATTCAACCCTGTATAAATCTTCTTGAACATCATCATGTATATTTTCTATGTTTTTCCCTGATTAATGAAGAGTGGTGTCATCAGCATATAGGTCTGTTTCACAATTTTCAATGCATAAGGGAAGGTAGTTTATAAATAGCACAAACAATAGAGGACCAATGTAGAAGTAATACAAGCACACATTGATTGGGGTAAAATCATCAAGATTTTATTTTTATTTGTCATCATTTATTAAGTCTAACTATTTTATTCCATTTCAGTCACAAGCATATGATTCATTAGAGTTCAACACAGATGGATCCTGTATATCTCCTTTGGTCAGAACCGAGGACTCTGAGAGCTGGTATGACTATGCAGAGGGATGTGGCGTCCAGTGTCAGAATCCACTATACACAGACAAGGAACATGATCAAGTCCATGCTATCATTGCTGTGTTTGGTTCTATATGTTTAGTGTGTACACTGTTTACTGTGGTAGGTTAAATTAAAGAAAAATTATTTTGGCAAAGAAAGACACATTATTTACAAATTGTCAGGTTGACACAATTGAACCAGTGATTTTAAAGAGTTATCTCCCTTACATCATGGTTGACACAAATGAACCAGTGATTTTAAATAGTTATCTCCCTTACTCTACATCTTTTTCAGTATGTTTTCTTCTGTAGCGTACATTTATGGTGATAAAGTTAAAAATTCGTAAGGGTTCCGCGGAACCCAGTGTCTCGCCTACTTTTTGCTGTTAATCACAGGCTCAACAAAAATGAGGAAAAAAATTAATAAAAATATTCCTCTCTATACTATCTTTTGATTGTAAGTAGCTTCTGTCCAAGTTTGGTAAAAATCCAGGATAGTTTATGAATCTAATAAATGTTTTAAAAACTTAAACTGCAGACTGTATGTAATGTTAATTGGAAGAAAAACTAAGTCCATTTATAAGTAAAATATGGAAAAAATGGAACAAAATTTCCTTCTAGATACTAGCTTTTAATCATAAACAAGCTTCTGTCCAAGTTTGGTACAAATCCAGGATAGTTTAAGAAAGTTGTTAAAATTTTAAAAACTTTAACCACAGAGTGAATGTAATGTTAACTGGCAGAAAAACTAAGTCCATTTATAAGTAAAATACGGAAAAAATGGATTTTTTTTTACAAAATTTACTTCTGGATACTATCTTACGATCATAAACAAGCTTCTTTCCAAGTTTGGTAGAAATCCAGGATAGTTTAAGAAAGTTATGAAAATTTCAAGAACTTTAACCACAGAGTGAATGTAATGTTTCCTGGCAGAAAAACTAAGTCCATTTATAAGTAAAATACGGAAAAAATGGATTTTTTTTTTAACAAAGTTTACTTTTGAATATTATCTTATGATCATAAACAAGCTTCTGTCCAAGTTTGGTAGAAATCCAGGATAGTTTAAGAAAGTTATTAAAATTTCAAAAACTTTAACCACAGAGTGAATGTAATGTTTCCTGGCAGAAAAACTAAGTCCATTTATAAGTAAAATACTGAAAAAATGGAATTTTTTTTTTACAAAATTTACTTTTGAATATTATCTTATGATCATAAACAAGCTTCTCGAGATTAAACTTCATCAGGACGCTCAAAGTGAAAAATCTGAAAGCCAAAAATGTATAAGTATTGGCAAACATGAGGAACTCAACGACCAAGAGAGATTTAAAAAGAAAAGACAAATAAGGTTAACTTTGAGGGAATTGGAACGTTAATTTTTTAATAATATTTAAGGTGGTACCCAACACCTTGACTAATATTAATTTGGCTCGTTTAATTTTCATAAAATTTTGACCAAATGTTTACTTTGAACCTTTGACAAAAATATAAAAATTTCAAAAAATTTGAACCAACCACTTTATCAGAAAAATTTCATTGGTTATATAGCAGTTTGACAAACACCAATTTTGATCATTGAGAAGCTTAATATTTCCTTAACAATACAACGTAATTAAAACGTTTAGCTGATTTTTACAGAGTTATCTCCCTGTAGTGTTAGGTACCACCTTAAATTCATCAATGGATAAGATAATGTCCGTACCGAAGCAATGACTACTAAGCTTGGGATACCCTTAAGGACTAATAAACCACAGTAACGTCCGTACCGAAGCAATGGCTACTAAGCTTGGGATACCCTTAAGGACTAATAAACTACAGTAACGTCTGTACCGAAGCAATGACTACTAAGCTTGGGATACCCTTAAGGACTAATAAACTACAGTAACGTCCGTACCTAAGCAATGGCTACTAAGCTTGGGATACCCTTAAGGACTAATAAACTACAGTAACGTCCGTACCGAAGCAATGACTACTAAGCTTGGGATATCCTAAAGGACTAATAAACTACAGTAACGTCTGTACCGAAGCAATGACTACTGAGCTTGGGATAACCTTAAGGACTAATAAACTACAGTAACGTCCGTACCGAAGCAATGGCTACTGAGCTTGGGATACCCTTAAGGACTAATAAACTACAGTAATGTCCGTACCGAAGCAATGACTACTGAGCTTGGGAGATCCTTAAGGACTAATAAACTACAGTAACGTCCGTACCGAAGCAATGACTACTAAGCTTGGGATATCCTTAAGGACTAATAAACTACAGTAACGTCTGTACCGAAGCAATGACTACTAAGCTTGGGATACCCTTAAGGACTAATAAACTACAGTAACGTCCGTACCGAATCAATGACTACTAAGCTTGGGATACCCTTAAGGACTAATAAACTACAGTAACGTCCGTACCGAAGCAATGACTACTAAGCTTGGGATACCCTTAAGGACTAATAAACTACAGTAACGTCCGTACCGAAGTAATGGCTACTAAGCTTGGGATACCCTTAAGGACTAATAAACTACAGTAACGTCCGTACCGAAGCAATGACTACTAAGCTTGGGATATCCTTAAGGACTAATAAACTACAGTAACGTCCGTACCGAAGCAATGACCCTTAAGGACTAATAAACTACAGTAACGTCCGTACCGAAGCAATGACTACTAAGCTTGGGATACCCTTAAGGACTAATAAACTACAGTAACACTTTATTTATTTGTTGCATATTCTGGATGTACCTTCATTTGTTGCTTTTGAATCACTTCTGGATGTAACTACATCAGAAACGTTCAAACACAGTAATTAAGTCTTTGATTCTTTTTTATAACTAAGTGATATTATATCTATAAGTCATAGCGAGAGATATGTCAGAGTGAATCACTCACAATCACTAGCAGTCAAAGAGAAAAATCCCTACTAAGAGTGTTTAACTGAATCACATTATTTAAACACAAGTGAGCCAACGCCTGGTAGTAGATTCCATAAAGTGGATACCTCGGGTATGCAGGGTCGTTACGAATCACATTATGTATACTGTTTTTAAAAGTAGGTTGTGTATGAGTTCATAGTTGTAGTGATTTATTGTAAAGTTGTCCCAAATACAATGAAGAAAAAATACATTGTATTTACTATACTGTAAATTCAAAAATTTGTGCATGCATTCATTATCGTGATTTTTGAAGAACATGAAGAATGAACAACAATGTGAGGTTTATTATTGCAATTTCAGGAAATGTTGCATACAAAAAATGGTATCAAAATTTGAATTAAAGTTCTTATTTTTGCAATTCCTGTTCCGTCGCAATATTTACAATAATTAAAACATTGCAAAATTTCTGAATTTACAGTAACATATATAAGATGCTTTAGAATCATATATTTTTATATCTTTGCCATGCACACAGGATAATTGAAGCAGGTATGTACTTCACATATCCCATCTTGTTTCTATCACCTTGTAAACTTGAAGGTTTTCAGACCCTTTTACAGCTACTGTACATTTTAATAGTTATTCAAGTTAAAAATGCATGAACAGAATATTTCTGAAGTTTTAGAATATAATAACTATATTGTATTTTAAAATAGTTTTAAAGATGACTGCAATAACACTGTTCCTTTTCTTTGGGTATTTTGAATATAAAAAAAAACCTGTTTAATTTAAACTCCTGTACTGAGACAAACATTTAATATTCTTTAGCAATTTTTATACGACCGCAAAAAAAATTTTGCGGTCGTATATTTGTATGACGTTGGCATCGTCGTCATCGTCGTCGTCCGAAGACACATTGGTTTTCGCACTCTAACTTTAGTTTAAGTGAATGGATCTCTATGAAATTTACCATAAGGTTCAATACCACAAAAGGAAGGTTGGGATTGATTTTGGGGGTCATGGTACCAACAGTTAAGGAATTAGGGGCCAAAAATAAGCATTTTTGTAACTTCCAGACATAACTTGTGTGTTAGTGTATGGATCTCTCTGACATTGTACCACAAGGTTCCATATCACAAAGGGAATGCTGGGATTGATTTTGGAGGTAATTGCCTTCAAATTTTAGGAATTAGGGGCAAAAAAGGGGCAAAAAACAAGCATTTTCTAGTTTCATGACAATAACTTGTGTGTAAGTGTATGTATCTCTCTGACATTGTACCACAAGGTTCCATATCACAAAGGGAATTCTGGGATTGATTTTTGGGGTAATTTCCTCCAAATTTTAGGAATAAGGGGCCAAAAAGGGGCAAAAAACAAGCATTTTTCTAATTTCATGACACTAACTTGTGTGTAAGTGTATGGATCTTTATGAAATTGTACTGCAAGGTTCCATATCACAAAGGGAAAGCTGGAATTGAGTTTGGGGGTAATTGCCCAAAACGTTTAGGAATAAGGGGCCAAAAATAAGCATTTTTCTAGTTTCCAGACAATAGCTTGTGTTCAACCCAAGAGAAAATAAATCTGGAATCCCACTGAAATCCCAGCTGGAATTTTGATGGGATTCCAAGTGGGATCCCACCTAATTCCACCGGGATAAAATTTCGGGAATCCCGCCAAAAGTCCGGGAATTCCGATGTAAATCCCGGTTGAAATATACTGGGATCCCACTGGGATATTGTGGGATTTTGATTGGAATATACTGGGATTCTGATTGGGATCCCGCTCTTTTAGCGGGAATCCCGTACATCGGGAATCCCGGACTTTTGGCGGGATTCCCGAAATTTTATCCCAGTGGAAATATACTGGGATCCCAGTATATTTCCACTGGGATTTACATCGGGAATCCCGGACTTTTGGCGGGATTCCCGAAATGCTACGATTTTGCATTTTCTGAGGGAATATACACATTTATTACTCATTATAAGGTAGATGAATATTGCCCTTGTATCAAATCTGTCACGTATATATAAACATTGCGGCATGAATTACATTGTATTGGCCATGTTTAATATCTTATTTCAATGGCTGTCAAGTTCCCATTCAAAAAAAATGTACTTGTATTTAATGTCCTGAGATCCTTAAACTTCCATCAAAATTATAGATACTAGTACTACTAGCAAACTTGTTTGCCATTTTTAATGGCTGCTTATATTGTTAAATTACCCATTAATTAAATATGGTACTCACCCCACCCCTCCTCCCCATGTTCACTAACACCTTCAAGCATTTCATTGTCTTAATTGTATTTAGATACGCAGTTTTCACCATGGCTTAATGATGCTCGCTGTTCAGTTTCAAATATTATAATATTAAAAATGTGTGTCAGATATAAAGGATACATGTGAAGTTCTCCTCTCCTCCTTTCTGTAATTAAATTTGCTGTCTCTGTACTTCCAACTAGTATTGCTGAGTAAAGGTAACTGGAATCTGCATGCAATCCGTTTACTTTCAAAATTGGCAGCTCCATTTAATCATTTAATCCCCTAAAAGTATCAAAAAAATCCACAAAGAATCAATTGTTCTAGACATTTTGAAGCAATAAATTCAATAGAAATATTATTGCATGTTTATACAGTATACATTGGAAGCCAGTTGGAATCAAATTAATTACCCTCCCTCTTTTTTTATCCCCTGAAGATAAATAAAATGCTTCGCTGGGGCGCAGCTTGATACGACCGCAGAGGTCGAACCCTGAACAGTTGGGGCAAGTATGGACACAACATTCAAGCTTGATACAGCTCTGAATTTGGATTGTTATTAAATATTTGACACAGCATAGGTTTCTGACACAGAAAGAATGTGGTCTAAGAACTTGAATTTTTTTAATTTACCTATTATGGTCCAATGTCCAAAATCAAAATACATGGTTAGATTCAGCATATCAAAGAACCCCATATATTCAATTTTTGTTAAAATCAAACAAAGTTTAATTTTGGACCCCAACTTGGACAAACTTGAAAACTGGGCCCATAATCAAAAATCTAAACACATGTTTAGATTCAGCATATCAAAGAACCCCAAGAATTCAATTTTTGCTAAAATCAAACTAAGTTTAATTTTGGACCCTTTGGACCTTAATGTAGACCAATTTAAAAAACGGGACTTAAAATTAAAAATCTAAATACACGGTTAGATTTGGAATATCAAAGAACCCCAATAATTCAATTTTTGATGAAATCAAACAAAGTTTAATTTTGGACCCTTTTGACCTCAATATGAACAAATTTGATAGGGGGGCCCACAAATAAAAATTCTAAATGCATGGTTAGATTCAGCATATCAAAGAACCCCATATATTCAATTTTTGTTGAAATCAAAAAAAGTTTAATTTTGGACCCCAACTTGGACCAACTTGAAAACTGGGCCCATAATCAAAAATCTAAACACATGTTTAGATTCAGCATATCAAAGAACCCCAAGAATTCAATTTTTGTTAAAATCAAACTAAGTTTAATTTTGGACCATTTGGACCTCAATGAAGACCAATTTAAAAAACGGGACCCAAATTAAAAATCTAAAAACACGGTTAGATTTGGCATATCAAAGAACCCCAATAATTCAATTTTCGATGAAATCAAACAAAGTTTAATTTTGGACCCTTTTGACCTCAATATGAACCAATTTGATAGCGGGGCCTACAAATAAAAAATCTAAATACATGGTTAGATTCAGCATATCAAAGAACCTCATATATTCAATTTTTGTTGAAATCAAACAAAGTTTAATTTTGGACCCCAATTTGGACCAACTTGAAAACTGGGCCCATAATCAAAAATCTAAATACATGTTTAGATTCAGCATATCAAAGAACCCCATATATTCAATTTTTGTTGAAATCAAACAAAGTTTAAATACTGGACCCTATCTTGGACCAACTTGAAAACTGGGCCCATAATCAAAAATCTAAACACATGTTTAGATTCAGCAAATCAAAGAACCCCAAGAATTCAATTTTTGTTAAAATCAAACTAAGTTTAATTTTGGACCCTTTGGACCTCAATGTAGACCAATTTAAAAAACAGGACCCAAAATTAAAAACCTAAATACACGGTTAGATTTGGAATATCAAAGAACCCCAATAATTCAATTTTAGATGAAATCAAACAAAGTTTAATTTGGGACCCTTTTGACCTCAATATGAACCAATTAGATAACGGGGTCCACAAATAAAAAATCTAAATACATGGTTAGATTCAGCATATCAAAGAACCCCATATATTCAATTTTTGTTGAAATCAAACAAAGTTTAATTTTGGACCCCAATTTGGACCAACTTGAAAACTGGGCCAAAAATCAAAAATCTAAATACATGTTTAGATTCAGCATATCAAAGAACCTCATATATTCCATTTTTTGCTAAAATCAAACAAAGTTTAATTTTGGACCCTTTGGACATTAATGTAGACCAATTTGAAAACTGGACCCAAAATTAAAAATCTAAATACACAGTTAGATTCGGCATAACAAATAAATAAATGTGATCAAAGATTTTACAAATCTAATGCGCCATACTGTGCAATTAAAGATTACTTCTTGAAATTTTTCAATATTTGAAATTTGAAAAAAAATAATATTTGAAGAATAATTCTTTTTAATTTCTGAAATCTGAAATGAGAAAAAATTGGCCCCCCACAATTTCTTTTTATTCCCCCCCCCCCTTTTTCCCCCCAAAAAATTCTTCTCCTCAAGATATGGTCATAATCTCAATTCAAATTTCCAATGGAGTTGGCAACCATAATTACCCATTTAAATTTACCATAGTGCTAACTTAATCTATTTTATAATAGAATTAATAAAAATATAGTGTCAAATCTTTCATATGGATTTTTTTGTAAAAAAAAAAAGATGAAAACATTTGCAGATATTTTTACTGGTCTTCCTTTATAAATATGCATTTCTTTAAACATAATTTAATAGCAGTGTAAGGGAAGTAACCAAAACGTTGTATTTGGATTACCTCCCTTACACTGTTTTAGATTATCTTTATTGTTCATTAACCATTACTTTATACATAATTTAAAAGCAGTGTAAGGGAGATAATTTCAATGATGTATTTGATTTATCTCCCTTACACTGCTTTAAATTATGTTTTGTACTAAAGTATTTGTCCATTAACCAGGACAACCTTGTTTTTCCCCCTTTTTTGCCCCTAATTCCTAAACGGTTTGAGCCATAACCCCCCAAAGCAAATCCTAACCATCCCTTTGTGGTATGGAAACTAGTAGTATAATTTCAGAGAGATCCATACACCGTTCCACAGTTATTGTCTGGAAACTAGAAAATGCTCATTTTTGGCCCCTTTTTGGCCCCTAATTCCTTAACTGTTGGTACCATAACCCCCAAAATCAATCCCAACCTTCCTTTTGTGGTATTTAACCTTATGGTCAAATTTCAAAAAGATCCATTCACTTAAACTAAAGTTAGAGTGCGAAAACCAATATGTATTCGGACGACGACGCTGGACGACGACGACGACGCCGGACGACGACGACGACGACGACGACGACGACGCCAACGTCATACCAATATACGACCACAAAATTTTTTTGCGGTCGTATAAAAACTAGCGACTTATTATTTTCACCAAATAACCATTCACACAATTCAATTAAATTTTTACATATCTACCAGTTATGCCTGTTATGTGACAACAAGATTATTCAATGTTGTTAAAAATAAATATATTTTTCAGTTTATGCAGGAACATATATATATTAGATATATCTGCATGTTCCCAGGTTTATGCTTTCAGATTTTCTGATGTTGATTTGCTAAAAAAAAAACCATAAAAAAATCATAGTTCCTCAATAAATTATATTTTATAATCTCATTATATACACATGTTAAATTAAATTTTTAATGCACTTATCTGAAAACATCTTCACCATCACATGGAATCTTCTATTTTGCTACAGCGTAATCACATTTTGATGACGTTTTTATTGAGTACTCTAACGTCGAGGTGACAATCTCGCCCCATATTATATCGGCCAGAAGTTGATCCGTCCCCGTAACGGTATTATAAAAATAAATCAAGGGTGTCGTATAAAAGTATTTATTACTGGCCAGTTTTTAAAAATAGGAAAAAAAAACCTTTAATTTAATCGGCACAGGGTGCATGCGGATGAACTAGTGGCCGCATTATCTAGGACGGTATTTTCTAGGGTCGGACTGTTCAGTACAATTACTAAAAACCACGTGGTCATGACTTGTTTACATAAGTTGAGAACCAAGGTTTTACGATGTCGATCGTTGGCCTATCGTTGATCTGATAATTTTTCTATGTTATTTAAATGCCGGACAACAGGTAGAAAATCAGAAACGATCCAGCTTGTCTGGCAAAACAGCCGTTGGCGTTTCTCGGGCGCCCTTTCGTTTTTATCGCGAAAATCTCGGCATTTTTCTGACTTTGAAATACTGTCAAACTAAAATTTGTAATTCTTCCATCAACAGAAGTTCAGCTAGCTGTGTAAACTGTCAAATTAAGTGACCCATTAAGTGCAGGGCTTCACCTGACAGCTTTGGTGTCAAACACATTGTTAATTAACACAAATAACCTTTGCTTTATGTCATAAATAATTTGTGTATTTCAAAAATGTTTCAGTTACTTCCCCTTTTTTATCACCTTTTCACAATATATTCCTTAAATTTATTGGTTTTTTTTCTAAAAAAAAAAAAATAAAACAAATTGAATGCAAATGCATATCAGAATATTACTTTTAATTATTTTTAACCTGAAAACACTTCAAATATAAATATTTTGAAAATTATTTTTTTCATCTTTACTTCCATTAATTGATCTATCAAGTGCATTCAAATAATAATTCAAATTTTCATTGAAAGAGGACAACTTTTATTTTTAGAAGCAATTAGTGGGGGAGAGGCATTTAAAAAAGGGCATCCAAATTTTCAAAGCACCAGTTTTAAGTGGGGTCATTCAAAATATATTGATTTAAAAAGGAAAATTTACAAAATTTAGGTTTTTCACAGAAATCTATAACCAGGATATATTTTACATTTCCAGGATAATTTTTTTTAAATTCCACACAAAATTCTGGTTTATGTTTCCCTGTTTAAAGTAAGATGGGATCCCGGTTTCAGACAGTTATCCCAATGGGATCCCAGTTTCGTATATTTATCTTGCTTCAACTGGGATTGGATCCCAGCTTGAGACAGATATCCCAATGGGATCCCAGTTTCAGACATATATCCCGAATGGGATCCCAGTTTCAGATATTTATCCCGAATGGAATCCCGACTTCTGAGGCCCATCCCGGCTTATCCCGCTAATTTTACCGGGATTTGACTGGGATCCCGATAGATCCCGTTTTCATTTTCTCTTGGGAAGTGTATGGATCTCTCTGAAATTGTACTGCAAGGTACCATACCATAAAGGGAAGGCTGGGATTGATTTTGGGGGTAATTCCCTCAAAATTTTAGGAATTAGGGGCCATAAAGGGGCAAAAAAACAAGCATTTTTCTAGTTTCAGGACAATAACTTGTGTGTAAGTGTATGGATCTTTATGAAATTGTACTGCAAGGTTCCATATCACAAAGGGAAAGCTGGGTTTGAGTTTGGGGGTAATTGCCCTAAACGTGTAGGAATTTGGGGCCAAAAAGGGGCCAAAAACAAGCATTTTCTAGTTTCCAGACAATAACTTGTGTTCAAGTGTATGGATCTCTCTGAAATTGTACTGCAAGGTACCAGGGGTTCAAAAATTTGGGGAGGGGGATTTTTTTTCCTTTTTTTTCTTTAAAATTTTCCATTTTAAATTGGTTATTTCTGATTTATATATAAAAGCAAATAATAATGATATGGTTTGAATAGGTAAATTAATTAAAAAATTTTAAGTTCTTAGACCACATTCATTCTGTGTCAGAAACCTATGCTGTGTCAAATATTTAATTACAATCCAAATTCAGTGCTGTATCAAGCTTGAATGTTGTGTCCATACTTGCCCCAACTGTTCAGGGTTCGACCTCTGCAGTCGTATCAAGCTGCGCCCCAGCGGAGCATTTTATTATTTTTTCCAAACCTCTGTAACAAAATCTTAATCACAAAGGGTTTAGCTTAGACCAGTTGCTTTGTATGTAAATGAAAAGTATTTATAAGTGATTAGACAGTTTTACTGTACATGATCAGTTCATTATATCTCACAATACAATATAGTTTTTATTTCTAACTTTATAAGAATCTAGCTGACTTTAATTCTCACTTTTTTTTTGATGTTTTATGCACAATTCCATGACATTACTTTGTTGTTGACCTTTTGCACATTTATCAAGATACACATTATCTGGTGTATTTTATTTTAGAATAGTGAACTACAGCGGACGGGTCTGGCGGCTGCCAACAGTTTCTGTGAAATATCTTATGAACCTTTCAACCAATGCTTTTCAATGTTTATAGGATGTTAATGATGACAAAATGGAGGTCAAGTTCTATATCGACCAATTTTTCTTTTATTGTTCAGGACTTATGGTCTTTGATTTATTTGAAAAAGGCCCTTTCAGTTTATGTTGCTTCCATGCAAAAACTTGTGAACAATAGAAATCCACTATTGCTTTTCAAATTTAAATATGTTATTATTGTTAACAAAATGGATCTCAAGTTTGATATTGATGATTTTAAACTTTTACTGATCAAGAGTTATGGTCCTGGATAGATTTGAAAATAGGCACAGAACGTAGCAGGTCAAACAAGCATGAAAGTTCCTTCAAAATACAGAAAATCCTGTTACTATATTTACTTTTTTTTGACAGAGAAAGAACAAGGCAAAAATACAACACGAAACATGCAATGAAATAATAATATAATAACGTTTGCTTTATTGTGGCATTGTCTATATATATTTCAGTTAACTTTTTTGATTGATTGGAAAAATTCGAAGAAGTATCCAGCTCTGATCCTATTTTTCATCAACATATGTTTCTTCCTGTCCAGTATTGGTTGGATGGCCCAGTTCTCTGGTGGTGCTAGAACAGATATTGTCTGTAAGAGTGATGGGACCATTCGTGAAGGTGGACCATTGTAAGTAGTGTTTACCAATTTGTTCATTGTTGAAGGCTGTACAGTGACCTATAGTTTTAGACTTCTAATGTCATTTGGTCTCTGGTAGAGAGTTGTCTCATTGGCAATCATACCAGATTTTCTTGTTATACGCCCATCAAAATTTTGATGGGACGTATTATGGTATACAAATGTCGTCTGTCTGTCCGGTGTAAACATGTCGCACCGTAACTTGAGAACGACTTATCCAAATTTCATGAAACTTAACATAGTTGTTTCTTATGATGGTCAAACGATCTGTATACTTTTTGGTGAAAATAAGATTAAAATTTTTTGAGTTACGGTACTTAGTAACTAAAACAGGTGTGTGTTTTTTTTCACATGTCGCGCCGTATCTCAAAAACAATTTATGATTATTGCTTAAAACTTTACACACTTCTTAGTTATGTTAATCTTAAGATCTGTATACTTTTTGGTGATGATTCTAAATTTTATTTTTGAGTTATTGAATATTTTGTAAAAAAAGGGGGAGGGGTTTTTCACATGTCGCGCAGTATCTCAAAAACGATTTATGATTATTGCTTAAAATTTTACACACTTCTTGGTTATATTAATCTAAAGATCTGTATACTTTTTGGTTTTGATTCAAAATTTTATTTTAGAGGTATTGATTTTTTATATTTTTTTAAAAAGGGGGGTTTTCACATGTCGCGCCGTATCTCAAAAACGATTTATGATTATTGCTTAAAATTTTACACACTTCTTAGTTATATTAATCTAAAGATCTGTATACTCTTTGGTTTTGATTCAAAATTTTATTTTAGATATATTGAGTTTTTTAAAAATAGGTGGGGTTTTCGCATGTCGTGCCGTATGTCAGAAACTATTTATGATTATTGCATAAAAATTCACACACAAGACGACGGGCGTATCATGCGCTCATGGCGCAGCTGTTTATTTTTTTATTTACCAATATACTTGGGACACTACACCCGTAACAATAAATATTGAGGATTGAACCGCATGTGAATATAGAAAAATGGGTAAAAATATAGAAAAACTAGCTTAAACATGTTAAAGAATGTAAAATACAGAAATGAAAGCACCTATCAGAATCTCATTTTTATTAAAGATGCACAAAAGTCAGGAACACATTTGCCGATTTCTTGCAGTAAGCAAGGTACAAAATTATCTTTATGATATAAATAAAAATAAATGTTGGGTAAATATATATGTTAATGAGATCAAAGATTAGACACATTAACCTAAATACTTCTAGAGGTCAACATACTTGTGTTATGTCCTTTGTTTTACCTAGTGACCAACTTTTCTCTTCATTTTAGGAAATGAGCCACTGTATTATGCCCCTTTGATTTCCTTTAACCAACCTTTTCTTCATTTTCAGGACAGGAGAAACAGCATCCTGTACATTTGTTTTTATACTTGTCTACTATTTCTTCATGGCTGGTGCTGTTTGGTTTGTCATGTTAGCCTATGCCTGGCATCTGACATTCAAAGCTCTGGGTACTCCACGTGATGATCTCTCCAATAAAACGTCCTACTTCCATCTTGCCAGCTGGAGCATACCGCTAGTCTTAACTATTGTTAGTTTAGCTGTCTCTGAGGTAAGGCCACCAGCTTGAGCATACTGCTAGTCTTAACTATTTTTAGTTTAGCTGTCTAAGAGGTAAGGCCACCAGCTTGAGCATACCGCTAGTCTTAACTATTGTTAGTTTAGCTGTCTCAGAGGTAAGGCCACCAGCTGTAGCATATCACTAGTCTTAACTATTGTTAGTTTAGCTGTCTCAGAGGTAAGGCCACCAGCTGTAGCATACCGCTAGTCTTAACTATTGTCAGTTTAGCTGTCTCTGAGGTAAGGCCACCAGCTGTAGCATACCGCTAGTCTTAACTATTGTCAGTTTAGCTGTCTCTGAGGTAAGGCCAAACCTAATTGATTTTTTTTAAGAAAATTGATTTTACTGCATCCACCAGAAAAATACCAATAATCTGCACGTAGTTTAAAATAACATCACAGATATATTCCAAATACATGAAAAAAAACCAAAGCAAAATAGAACAAAAATAGGTACCGGTATTTACATAGACAATCACTAAACACTAATTTCTGGCTCTGGATTGTAATGAAAAAGAAGAAAAATGGGGTATTTACTCAGGACACTAAAGATTTAAAGGGTCGACTGACATTCTTATATTTAAAAAAAAATGAAGTACCGTAATAAGATGGCATACCTTGTGAAGTGTCAAAAATTTAGTACCATATCAGGAATTCGTCACCAAAGAGTTTGTTTTTATATCTGAGTATGATTTAGTGGGATTGGTAGCCATAAAAATTATGACTTTTACGGATAAGGAGTTCTTGGCAGTTGAGAAACTTTTAATAGCGAAAAACAATCAACAAGATTTACAAAGTCATTAGTCAGTCCAGTATAACATAACACATAATTTGTAGTGTCAAGTTTAATTATTGGTTCATCTTTGGCTGAAGGTCCATGTGTGCTGTAGAAAAGAGTGGACATTTCTCATCATGAATGATTGATTGTTGTTTGCTTAAATATCAGTGGTATCCCTCATCATAAACTTTTTTAAAAAATCTTCCCCATAATATAAGTTTTTGGCTATTTTCTCAAATCTTATAACAGGTAGAGACAACAAATTGTCACCTCAATACGATCAGCTTGTAATGATCTACCTTTCTGTATATATTGCTATTGCTCAACTCCTTATACGAATGGTTGCCCCTGAATGACCATTTTGACAAGTTTTTATGCCCCCGCCGTAGCGGAGGGGGCATTAAGTTTTACCCTTGTCCGTCAGTACGTCTGTCCGTACGTACATCCCAAAATTGGTTTCCGTTCCCTAACTTTAGTTTGCCTCAACCAAATGTTATGAAACTTATACACAATGCTTATTACCACAAAACACAGATCAAGTTTGAATTTTGGAGGTGTCACTTTAACCATTCTAGAGTTATGCCCCTTTATAAATGGAAAAATTGCTTAATTTTTTGTTTCTGTTCTCTTACTTTAGTTTGCCTCATCCAAATGTTATGAAACTTATGCACAATGCTAATTACCACAAAACCCAGATCAAGTTTGAATTTTGGTGGTGTCACTTTTACTGTTTCAGAGTTGTGCCCCTATACAAATGGAAAAATTGCTGGATTTTTCGATTCTGTTCTCAAACTTAAGTTTGCCTAAACTAAATGTTATGAAACGTATACACAATGCTTACTGTAAACAGGGAAATTTTCGCAGCAGTTTTATTTTTGCTATTTTTGCGGTAAGAGTTGAAACACGAAATATAAAACAGCTGCGAATATTTCAAGGAAAGCCGATTAATAAGATAAAGACCATACATGAACGTATATGAATAGGATATTTACAAGATTACTGCAGAACACCGGTTATACACACCACAGATCTATTCCGAATATCATAACTTTAAATTATTTCTAAATGAAAGGCAATGTAAGTAAAGAAATCACAATTTAACTCATGCTAGCCTAATTAACATGGAAGAAATATCAAGCAAGCTGATATTACGGATATTGTTATATAAACAATTATTTCAAATATGTAAAGAGCTGTCAATCAGTTTTACAAGGATTACCTCATTGTATGATATGCTACGCAGACTAATCAGATCAAACAATCGATTAATTAATTAGCAGTAATCCTGACAACATTTAAATCATTCTTGATATGATTCGAATGTGTCATTCTTCTTTGTTTATTTTGTATTTATTTTTAGAAGCAAACATGACTATTAACTTTAAACTACTTTCACATATTAAATGAACCGACAAAAAGGATTTCTATTTGATTTTATCACTTGATTTACGACGCATGTAAAATTGTTTACTTTCCAAATCATTTATTAAGAAATACTTAATTAGGACACTGGGATATCGCGAATTCAAAACTGCACGAATTTAGATTTGGTTGGAGAATCGCGAAAAAAAGACGGCGCGAAAATTTCCCGGTTTACAGTATTACCACAAAACTCAGATCAAGTACAAAATTTGGTAGCATCACTTTTACAGTTCTTGAGTTATGTCCCTTTATAACATTATATGCAAACGGGGGCATCATCTGTGTCCAATGGACACATTCCCCATTTATTGTGTTAATAAAATACAAATATTTTATCAAAAAATAAATGTGTCTAGACTCAGGTTGATATAGAGCTTGACACATTGTATTGACAAGTAATTAATGGAAATTTTAAAGGAATTTGTTCTGGACAACATAAGACAGGTTAATTTTGATTTTTTCGTCGTTTTCACTTTTACTCTTCCAGAGTTATGGTAGTTGCGTGTTTTGTTATGATTATTGGAAAAATTCAATTTTTTTTTATTTCTATATGATAAATTGAGAACTCCTTGAAACTGATTCAATCAAAATTATATAATGGAATGTTTTGGACCACTAAACTAAATCATGATCTCTCAGTTGCTGCGAGCGGGGGTATCTGTGATCACCTCTCTATTTTTGTTTTGTTTGATTACTGTTACTTGGCGTATACCCTTTATCTTCTTTTATTCATGCTTTACAACTCTTCCATCTAATACCCTCCATTAGACTTGTCTCCATACTCTCTTTATTTTACTTATAAAAATAAGAGGTTGTGGAATGATTGCCAATGAGACAACTCTCCACAAGAGACCAAACGACACAGAAATTAATAACTTTACATGTAGGTCACCATACAGCCTTCAACAATGAGCAAAACTTGTTTTCCCCAAAATTTTTTATTTTGTTGCTTACTACATTACAAGTCAGATGGATTTTGTCATTTTAACTCTGTTCCACTAAAATTTAACCTCCCATATATACATATCACCTATGGTCATTACTTATATATATGGTAAAAAAAATCATCTTTTATCAAACAAATTTTTATTTTTATATTTTAACATTCTCAAATTATTATGATATAGCAAATGACAAAAGAATAAGAACAGTAGTTACAAATAATGCTGAAAAAGCTCTTTTTTAAATTTTCACACCACTCCCCTCCCCTCCCCTCCCCACACCCCAAAAAATGAAGCAAAAAATAACATGACAAGGAGTCCCTCTTCCTTTAATCATGTTAATGTTTCCAAAAGGTATGAAATGGTTAGGTTAGAAAAAGATTGCACATATTAGAAGATAATAAAGTGAAAAAATGTTGGAAATTCAAAAGTGACGACAACCAACAACATCTTTGAATTGTACGTAAGTAAGTTGTCAGATTACGTCAGATATGAAAATTCTAAATTCACCTCTTATATAAATACACTTATGGTCAAGTGTTTGGTACAATGCTATTTCCTTTTCCTATAATGAGGTTTATCAAGTGACTTCTGTGTGGAAATCCATTGTCAGTGTTTCTCTTGATTTTAATAATGTAATAGTGAAGAAGTACTGTAAATTCAAAAAATATTCTGTGGGGATTTATTTTTTGCTATTGTTGGAACAATGGACTAAAATGGGACTGATAAGAGTTCAGGAAGTGTCACATACAAATTACTTAAAGCAGGGTTGTGTGTAGGAGTATATAAGTATTCGGTAAACAGGAATAAAATTGAGAATGGAAACGGGGAATGTGTCAAAGAGACAACAACCTGACTAAAGAGCAGAAAACAGCCCAAGGCCACCAATGGGTCTTCAACACAGTGGGAAAATCCTGCAACTTCAGCGGCCCCTAAATAAAAATGTATACTAGTTCAGCGAAAGATTGTCATCACACTAAACTCTGAAACATATAAATGAACCAAAATTAGATAAACATACAAGACTAACAAAGGCCAGAGGCTCCTGACTTGGGACAGGCACAAAAATGCAGCGGGGTTAAACATGTTCATATCTTTTTATTCAAATGTTCAGATCTAAAAAAAAAAAAAACACACTGTATCATATTTTTTATTTTTTTTGCATTTCATAGAATTATTATTTTTATACCCCACACAACGAGTTGCGGAGGGTATAATGTTTTTGACCCGTCCGTCAGTCCGTCAGTCCTGTTTCTTGTCATCGCAACTCCTCTCAAACCACACAACAGATTTCACAAAACCTTTTTAGATAATAAGGACATACTATGTAGTTGTGCATATCGACCGGAAATTGCGATTCAATTTTTTTTCTAGGAGTTACGCCCCTTTGAACTTATTAACTTTAATGTACTACTGCAACAGTTTGTCATCGCAACTCCTCTGATACCACACAACAGAACTTCATGAAACCTTTTTAGATAATAAGGACATACTATGTAGATGTGCATATCGACAGGAAATTACGGTTCAATTTTTTTCTAGGAGTTACGCACCTTTGAACTTATTTGCTTCAATGTACTATGCAACAGTTTGTCATCACAACTCCTCTGATACCACACAACAGAATTTCATGAAACCTTTTTAGATAATAAGGACATACTATGTAGATGTGCATATCGACAGGAAATTACGGTTCAATTTTTTTTCTAGGAGTTACGCCCCTTTGAACTTATTGACTTTAATGTACTACTGCAACAGTTTGTCATCGCAACTCCTCTGATACCACACAACAGAATTTCATGAAACCTTTTTAGATAATAAGGACATACTATGTAGATGTGCATATTGACAGGAAATTACAGTTCAATTTTTTTTGTAGTTGTGCATATCAACAGGAAATTGCGATTCAATTTTTTTTCTAGGAGTTACGCCCCTTTGAACTTATTTGCTTCAATGTACTACTGCAACAGTTTGTCATCGCAACTCCTCTGATACCACACAACAGAATTTCATGAAACCTTTTTAGATAATAAGGACATACTATGTAGATGTGCATATCGACAGGAAATTACGGTTCAATTTTTTTTCTAGGAGTTACGCCCCTTTGAACTTATTTACTTTAATGTACTACTGCAACAGTTTGTCATCGCAACTCCTCTGATACCACACAACAGAATTTCATGAAACCTTTTTAGATAATAAGGACATACTATGTAGATGTGCATATTGACAGGAAATTACAGTTCAATTTTTTTTGTAGTTGTGCATATCGACAGGAAATTGCGATTCAATTTTTTTTCTAGGAGTTACGCCCCTTTGAACTTATTTGCTTCAATGTACTACTGCAACAGTTTGTCATCGCAACTCCTCTGATACCACACAACAGAATTTCATGAAACCTTTTTAGATAATAAGGACATACTATGTAGATGTGCATATCGACAGGAAATTACGGTTCAATTTTTTTTCTAGGAGTTACGCCCCTTTGAACTTATTTACTTTAATGTACTACTGCAACAGTTTGTCATCGCAACTCCTCTGATACCACACAACAGAATTTCATGAAACCTTTTTAGATAATAAGGACATACTATGTAGATATGCATATCGACAGGAAATTACGGTTCAATTTTTTTTTTAGGAGTTACGCCCCTTTGAACTTATTTGCTTCAATGTACTATGCAACAGTTTATCATCACAACTCCTCTGATACCACACAACAGAATTTCATGAAACCTTTTTAGATAATAAGGACATACTATGTAGATGTGCATATCGACAGGAAATTACGGTTCAATTTTTTTTCTAGGAGTTACACCCCTTTGAACTTAATTGCTTCAATGTACTATGCAACAGTTTGTCATCACAACTCCTCTGATACCACACAACAGAATTTCATGAAACCTTTTTAGATAATAAGGACATACTATGTAGATGTGCATATCGACAGGAAATTATGGTTCAATTTTTTTTCTAGGAGTTACACCCCTTTGAACTTATTTGCTTCAATGTACTACTGCAACAGTTTGTCATCACAACTCCTCTGAAACCACACAACAGAATTTCATGAAACCTTGTAGATAATAAGGACATACTATGTAGATGTGCATATTGACAGGAAATTATGATTCAATTTTTTTTTCTTACACCTATTTTATTTCTCCAATGACAATGTGAGGACGTGGGTTTGTGAGCGCGCTCACTAAGGTTCTTTAATTATTATTTAAAAAGACATAATTCATGAAAATGTTGTTAATTTTGATTTCAGAAGTAAACATTCTAACCTCATGCTTATCTTGTAAGCTGAAATTAAATCATGATTATTATCTATAAATGTATATAACCAACCTCATATTGAGTGCACCACTTCCTCTAGAAATTGTAATTGAACTCCTTTGAAAAAACACCTCTGATCCTCTTCTTCTTTATATATGTAATGAATGTATTTTTGCCCTTTTGAAGGAATTATGTATAAATAGCGTCATTAATTTTCCCCCAGAAAATGGCATTACCCATTTGATTGTATGGGTATTGAATATATGATTGTTTCTGAATATGTTCATACAAATCCAATGGTAACTCTTTAGGCGACAGTTTCTCATAGAAGACCAGGAGAAGGACGTTTTTTCCATTCCTTGAATGCATACTTTCCATTCTTGCCATATTAAACTCAAACATACAAAACTCAGACTTGAGAAAAGATTTAGTTATTATACAGATTGTTTTCCGACTGTTTTGGATAGCAGTGATCATGTTGTTCATTATGTCATGACCGTGAATGAAATCTCTTTCGTGAATACACAGTTTCAAGTTTCTGTCTAGTTCTAGATTTTGTATGCAGGTGTCAGTTACGAATAATCGATTTTCATCTGCATAAGAAATAAATGCATCATAACTGTATTCACTTGCATCTTCTTTGCTCTTGTTGGAAATATATTTCATCTTAGCTGTATAATAGAGATAGCGAAGTTTCCATCTTTGTCTATATATAGCTACTGCTACTAAAAGTATCAAAGCTGCTATAACGCCAAAAGCAGTCAATAACAAGCGTAAACTCAAAGTAGGATCACCCTGTGTTTTTATACAGTCTTGTTCTAGATAAAGTATTACTTTTGCAAATGAATATGCTTTTGAAATGGTTCCATCTTCATAAGTGCATTGATATTGAGAAAATTTGATAAAATTTTGGCCAATTTGCCTCATCCACTTTAAAAATGGAAGTGTATAGCAGTTGCAACGAAGTGGGTTGTTACGAAGATCAATTTTTGTATCGGTGTTTTTGTTGAGCAGTCTATCAATTTCTTTCCTCGACTTTTTATTTAAGAATTTTATCCTGTTGTATGAGAGATTCAAAATTTTTAATTGTTTTAAATGAAAAAGTTCAAAACTGATGTTGGAAAGAAAATTATAACTTAAGTCAATGATTTTTAGGTAAGGTTGACCTTTAAACATTTCTGTATTAAGTTTATATATTGAATTATGTGAAAGACATATGTTTTCAAGGTTACTTGTTTGTGTAGCTGTTGTTTAATTTGCTAGGTAATTTCCAAGACGATTATGTTTTAAAATAAGTGAAACGACCGAATTTATATTGAGAGCTGTCCAAGAAAAATCATTCCCAGTCAAATTTAGAATTTGTAGACTAGGTGGTGCATTAATAACTGTCTGTGAATGAACACATTTTTGATGTAGGTCTTTAATGTTTGTTAAGTGTAATTGGTGAATAGATGTGCTGTTTAAATTTTCATTTATTGATTCCCAGATGCAGCCATTATCAGAAGTATCATAAAAAACCACATTTTGTATTATTAGAATTTCAATTTGCGTTAATGACAATTCAAAAATTATTTCTGAAATATATGTTGTGTGTTTCATAAGGGAGGCAGAAAAATCAATTTGTAAAAACTTTAACTTTTTGAGTGTTGCAAATGCTAAATGCTTAAAATTAAAGGATCGAATGTAAAGGATGTATAAATGTGTTAAGTTAGGTACATATTGGAATGTGATGTTGCAAACACTGAAACAGATATCTTGACAATTAATATGGACAGAATAAAGATTAGAGAGTTTAGAATAATCTTTCCCAAAAAGTGATGTGTCGTCATAATAACAAAAATAAACATCCAACTCTAAAATTTCTAGCTTTTTTTAAAAATCCAAATTTGTTATCTGAAAAAACAGTCCAATCCGTGTTGTTTTGAACTAAAAGCACTTTAAGTGATTCCAGTGGCTTAAAAGTTCTTGTTGGAAATCTTGCTTTTGTATTGTAATCCAGTGGAAATCTTGCTTTTGTATTGTAATCCAGTTTGTTATTGTTGAGTTTAAGTTGTACCAGGTTCGTAAGTCCATTAGATGAACGCTTTCTTATTGAATATAGATGATTGAAGGATAAATCTAACACAGTAAGATTTGTCATAAGTCCATTAAATGAACGCTTTCTTATTGAACATAGATGACTGAAGGATAAATCTAACACGGTAAGATTTGTCATAAGTCCATTAAATGAACGCTTTCTTATTGAACATAGACGACTGAAGGAAATATCTAACACGGTAAGATTTGTCATAAGTCCATTAAATGAACGCTTTCTTATTGAACATAGATGACTGAAGGATAAATCTGACACGGTAAGATTTGTCATAAGTCCATTAAATGAACGCTTTCTTATTGAACATAGATGACTGAAGGATAAATCTAACACGGTAAGATTTGTCATAAGTCCATTAAATGAACGCTTTCTTATTGAACATAGATGACTGAAGGATAAATCCGACACGGTAAGATTTGTCATAAGTCCATTAAATGAACGCTTTCTTATTGAACATAGATGACTGAAGGATAAATCTGACACGGTAAGATTTGTCATAAGTCCATTAAATGAACGCTTTCTTATTGAACATAGATGACTGAAGGATACATTTAAATGAACGCTTTCTTATTGAACATAGATGATTGAAGGATAAATCTAACATGGTAAGATTTGTCATAAGTCCATTAAATGAACGCTTTCTTATTGAACATAGATGACTGAAGGATAAATCTAACAAGGTAAGATTTGTCATAAGTCCATTAAATGAACGCTTTCTTATTGAACATAGATGACTGAAGGATAAATCTAACACGGTAAGATTTGTCATAAGTCCATTAAATGAACGCTTTCTTATTGAACATAGATGACTGAAGGATAAATCTAACACGGTAAGATTTGTCATAAGTCCATTAAATGAACGCTTTCTTATTGAACATAGATGACTGAAGGATAAATCTAACACGGTAAGATTTGTCATAAGTCCATTAAATGAACGCTTTCTTATTAAATATAGATGACTGAAGGATAGATCTAACACGGTAAGATTTGTCATAAGTCCATTAAATGAACGCTTTCTTATTGAACATAGATGATTGAAGGATAAATCTAACACGGTAAGATTTGTCATAAGTCCATTAAATGAACGCTTTCTTATTGAACATAGATGACTGAAGGATAAATCTAACACGGTAAGATTTGTCATAAGTCCATTAAATGAACGCTTTCTTATTGAACATAGATGACTGAAGGATAAATCTAACACGGTAAGATTTGTCATAAGTCCATTAAATGAACGCTTTCTTATTGAACATAGATGACTGAAGGATAAATCTAACAAGGTAAGATTTGTCATAAGTCCATTAAATGAACGCTTTCTTATTGAATATAGATGACTGAAGGATAAATCTAACACGGTAAGATTTGTCATAAGTCCATTAAATGAACGCTTTCTTATTGAATATAGATGACTGAAGGATAGATCTAACACGGTAAGATTTGTCATAAGTCCATTAAATGAACGCTTTCTTATTGAATATAGATGACTGAAGGATAGATCTAACACGGTAAGATTTGTCATAAGTCCATTAAATGAACGCTTTCTTATTGAATATAGATGACTGAAGGATAGATCTAACAAGGTAAGATTTGTCATAAGTCCATTAAATGAACGCTTTCTTATTGAATATAGATGACTGAAGGATAAATCTAACAAGGTAAGATTTGACATAAGTCCATTAAATGAACGCTTTCTTATCGAACATAGATGACTGAAGGATAAATCTAACACGGTAAGATTTGTCATAAGTCCATTAAATGAACGCTTTCTTATTGAACATAGATGACTGAAGGATAAATCTAACACGGTAAGATTTGTCATAAGTCCATTAAATGAACGCTTTCTTATTGAAGATAGATGACTGAAGGATAAATCTAACAAGGTAAGATTTGTCATAAGTCCATTAAATGAACGCTTTCTTATTGAATATAGATGACTGAAGGATAGATCTAACACGGTAAGATTTGTCATAAGTCCATTAAATGAACGCTTTCTTATTGAACATAGATGACTGAAGGATAAATCTAACACGGTAAGATTTGTCATAAGTCCATTAAATGAACGCTTTCTTATTGAACATAGATGACTGAAGGATAAATCTAACACAGTAAGATTTGTCATATTTTTAAACACGTTATTTGGTATGTACTCGATCCAGTTGTGTTGTAGAATGAGATGAACAGTGTTTTCTGGTTATTGTGGAATTTGAGTTAAGTTCTTGTGTGAACAATCTACATGTAGCTCTCCACTTTGATAATGTTTTGCACAAGGAAATTTACTCCATTCAGCCCTGTTAACATGAAAACAGTAACTTCCATACAACAGTACGAGGATGAAGTTGTAATATAGACTGTTTACCATGATGTTCTGCCAAACACTTATCTGTAAGAGATACAAGTAACATAGAGTCTGTACAATGATACTTTGGTGTGTATAATAAACTAAACTATCCTGCAATTGACCTTTTACTTTACAACTAGTCCGGTTTACAGATAACATGAAACAATAAACATATAGTATACGCCTCCGGGTGCGGGATTTCCTCGCTGTGTTGAAGACCCATTGGTGGCCTTGGGCTGTTTTCTGCTCTTTGGTCGGGTTGTTGTCTCTTTGACAAATTCCTCATTTCCATTCTCAATTTTATTATTGTTTATATAGTCTCCTGGTATCCTACTTCTGATGTGAGAAAATGGTTGTATTCAAGTTACTGTTTACATTACAGTTCACTTTGAGTTTCTCAACATGGTCTGAGTTGAAGTCATGTAGAGTTCATTT